AGCCATTCTTGATCGCTAACATTTTGCCAGACTGGTTGTTCCGTCGCAGTGGATGCACACCAAGCCCGGTCGGAGCTTGGTTCCGACTTTGCAAAGATGCAGGAAAGCATCCTGAAAGAGCAGGAACAGAACAATCGCCTCATGCTTTATATCAAGCGGGCCGCTATTGTCCTAACATTGGGCACATCCGCCGCCGTGCTCATGCTCCTCTACATCGCTTTGAAACTCGGCATAATTGAAGAGCTATACCAACGCTCCCGTGAGCGACTAGGACGCGTCGATTTGTAGGATTAGTGTGGCTATAAATCTTTGTTTAACCTGTCTCCGATATTTCAGAATGAGTATTGAAGCGAATCATCATTAATCTACGTTCAATACAACTTGCAAGGCGTCTTTCCGAAGAAATCAGCCAGGAAGAGCTTCGTCTTTCGATTAAACTTGGTACCGGTGAGGGTGCACCTAGAACCGTCATCCAGCAGGACCTCGCAGTTGTATCCTTTCGTGCGTTTCGTGACCGTCAAAACTTCTACGATGAGACCACCTCGCAGATTTGACGAGTTTCGACTCTCAATTGTCGAATGAAAGCAGGCGGAGAATCTGGATGGTATGGCCGAAAGACTCGACGAGCTCAACGAAGCAGAGCAAGGACCATCCAATAACTCGGGCAGGCGTCGACGTCCAGACGGCTGACGAATGGTCGCAGACGAGGCCGACAGGCCTGTCCCAGTTGACCACCCCTCAAACCCATCAGCACGAACGGCATTGAACGAAGGCGGAGCGACGGATGAGGCCGCAGCGTCAGGCTGATATTGCGACGTCAACAGATATGAGTCGGAATGATTGCATCCATGTGACGACAGTCGGGTTTGACCAGCAGACGTAGCGGAGATCGCTTGGTAAGGCTGCAGCCGGGGCTGTCCAAGTGACGCATCCAAAACCGTGCTCACAGAGGTGGTCGACGGTGTCGGATTGGACGGTGCTATAACAGGCGTGACGGTCAGCTCGTTGGTGGGAAAGTTTCCCATGGAGGGCCCGGTGCGATATGTCCTTGTCGATAAGAGAGATTGGGACTCTGAGAAGGGTGCGGTATTCGAATGTTCGGGCGCCAGGACCATGGATGAAGAAGAGCAGCAGTTCTCATGATCTTCGACTCGAGCAGCAGACGACACAGGCCTGTCTACCCCGCTGTTTGCTCTTTCGGCTTGAATGCGCTGTGTCGCACGCCGATGATCGAGTTCGGCTTCTTCTTCTGAACGCTCGCGGGCTTCCCGGCCAAGGTGCAACACTCGAGACTGTCTGCTCGCCAAGTAAGCCGTCATCGCGTTTATGTTCTCTGCTTGCGTTTGTAGTGCGGAGCGGATGCGTTCTTGACTTTGCTGTAGGTGTGAACGGGAGACTTCAGCGTCTTTAATGAGAGCTCGGAAGCGCCGCGCGCGGTCTTCGTATTCAGATATATCAACGGACTGTATGTTTGGCGTGAGACGATTGTGTGAGAGTAGCACAAGATTCTGCACTTTACCCCTTGTAATACCATTCCCTGCGCCGCATTGATCTGAAATGATTAAATGGATAGGAAAACGCATACCTGGTCTTTACCTGTTGCAGAAGAGAGGCTATTGTAGAGTCCTGGGCTGGGGTTAGAACAGCGGCATGTGGGTCGGAAATGCAAACGGCCTGACAAGGTCCTCGACGCTAGATGACCCTCCCATGATACCCGCGGAGTACTTTTCCTGTTGAGTCGGGCGTTCAAAGGTCATGATCGTTCGGAGAGTGGCAGTCCAAAGTGACCTTAAGCAGACGATTTTCTTCAAGGAGTCTGTGCAGTCGAAGGGACAATCCACTGGGCCCAGTGGAGTCGGCCGGATTCGCACTTGCTGTTGTGGAGCGTTCCATGTCCAGGTCTTCAGTCAACTCAGATAAGGTGGGCGGGCTTGAGGCTATGAAACGAAACAGAATAAGAGGCTTGGTCTCATCCACGCGAAGTGTTATAAAGGCCGAACGTTTGACTGTTTACGAGCATTCTATTCCCCAAAGATCTTTGGCTGATCACAGCCATCGCAATAAGCAAAGCAGTAAGAACAAGGGACGAAGAAGCAATCCGCCAGGACCAATGTTTCAACGCGGATTGTCGGGAATGATCTAGGGCTCGCATTGATGTCATGTCTTTGTCTTTGTCTCTGACGATTCTTCGACTGTGGTCTTATTCTCTCTCACCCATAGCTACTGGACCAACAGCCGCGAATGAAAGCCACGCTTCAGAACCTGACAAGAATTTGGACGGCGCCCACCGTTGCGGCGGTGTGTTCACGGCTTGCATCCTCTTCATTCATATTTATGACTGTGCACAGATGGGCGAGACTACGGTTACCGATGCAACAGAGATCGGCGACGTGGGTGTTGCATCCTCTTCACAATGCTTAACTGGTCAATTGCTGGATGAATTGGACCTCGTTGAATCGATGGACGCCGATCTTCGGAACAACAAGGCAGGTGGACGTTATGTTCTTGCGTTAACCTCAAGATGACGCGCTTCTCCATTAGACTATTCGCGATCTAGAAGTGAAGAACGATCAACTGCGGGAGGATATCTCGGAACTACAGGAAGAAATAGAAGAGCTTAGAACGGTTCGTTCTGTCTTGTTTTGTATGAGCACGAGCACATCGACTGTGGCACATCAACAGGCGCGGTCTCACCTGGAACAATACTACAAGGAAGTTATTGAGCAGAAACGGGCCCTCGAAGAGGGGTATATGTCGGCGACGATAAGCCTGAACAAGGCGGTGAATGCGGAGATCGATACATTGGAGGCGGAAAGAGATCGCTGGAAGAAAGCATACGAAGGGGTTAATGTCGAGGCTGTCGCCGCTCGACTTTCCATCTCAAATCTTGAGACTGCTCTCGGTGAGCAGAGTGAAGAGATCATCGCTGCCCAGCAGCACATTTGGGCTCTCGAGGCGCAACTGAGGGATAGAGACGGAGGCCTCTCCATGGACGTTGACGGCCCCGCCTCGACACCAGACCAACCCGGCCCTTCAATGGATGCTCCTTGCTCTCCACTATCGATCACACCTCCCGAGCTGCCCGAGGTCAACCACGCCATACCGTCAGCAGCGACGGCAGCTCGGGTCGGCGCCCCGGCACCTATGGACGTTGATGCGCATCCAACTGGGGACGAGCCTTCCCCAAGCCGCAGCAGAGACCCTGATATTCTGGCCGTAGACACCGCCCAATCTGCAGAGACGATTCGGAATTCTAGCCCTGATACTCAACCCTTTGACTCCCGTGCTCAGGCTCAGGCGATTGCCGGAGTTGGCAGCATATCAACTCTCAAGTACGGACGTACCCGTCTCACGCACCACTTTTCTTCGGAAGAAGTTGACGATGTGCTCAAAGCTGTCGGGGACCAAAGAACTGCGTACCAGGCATGTTCTGCTATCCCCTTGTGAACTTAGTCACTAACAGACCGTCCAGACCAAGGTTCGCGACCTCACCAACTTTCTTCTGAAGATCAAGTTCGCCAGAGACATTGTTCGGGTGATCGACTCGGAGACGGGGGATCATGTTACTGAAGAGGAAGCTTCTGCCTATAATCGGGACCCCACCGTCACACCAGGGCCAACCCTGGAGCCTTTCAGGGTTTATTGGGGAGAAGATCTTGAATGCAGATGGAACACCAAGCTAATGCAGTTGGTCGTTGCACAGTATGGATCGGAACAGCTAGAAGGAGTTCCTGCGTCGTTTATCAGTCTACACTTCTTCAGACGGCTTCGCAGTCTCCGATCAGAATACAGGAAGCAGGGCCTTATGTCATATGATCCCGGGAAGGCCGCTTATTCCAATGCCATTCGGAAAAGAAACTCCCGGCGTGCTTCAGTAAGTGTTACATATGTCGTCTTTTTTGTCCACGATATCTCAATTTCTGACAGCTCTTATCTCTGCGCATGACGGAGATCGAACTTCTCTCCGAAGTATTCCAACATCCGGTAATCCAGGATTTGCTTGGTACTATGAAGGACAGCAAGCTATTCAACGCGACCTTGATGAGTTCGGAGGAGGACGCTCCCGTGGAATTTGGCCCCCCAGGGGCAGCAAATGTTTTTGAGAAGTCCTGGCGCAATCCAAAGTTGGTCGCTGTTATGAAGATAATCGACGCATTCCACAGAGAGCATCGCATGTTAAACCCCACGCGAGGGTGCGCTCCTCATCTTCGGATTCGACATGCGCCCGGCAAGTACGAATCGACGCGTCCGCCTCCCCCAGGGTTTCCAATCAACTGGTACAACCCCAAGATGTCTAGCCAAGAAGTGGAGAGGCTGTCTCCCGCACCGCCTCATCCTTTTGCAGAGGAGATTCTGACATGGCCTGAGTTCGCCATGAGCACCTGGGGTCCCAAGGCTCCGATTCGGGATACAGACTCAAATTGGCCAAAAGTGAATCCGTCTGACCAGTAGGCTGCAGCAGACTGTTGCTTTTTGTATTCCACACTTCCCAAAGTAATGAGCAATCAATCCATCTCGGCGATATTCCTGCACGATCTGCGTATGTAGAAGGCCAGGCCCGAAAAGTGCATACCTGCAGTCGGCTGATGTTCACGTGCTCACTTCCAAAATAATCACAAGCAGACCTTTACGCTTATTTAATCTGTCACAAGCGTTACTTATAATTATGGCCGCCGCCGGATGTGTTCGGCCCTGCGGGCCCTCACGTACCGATCATGTGACTTTATGCCAAATTCTCGGACCATCTTCTATTCACACATTCTGACATACCGACTCATCTTTCCCTGGGCCTGAGTAATGCCGAAGATGGCGCCTGAGGACCAGAAAGAAGGTTAGCGTCTAATGCAACTCTTCCCGCTATCTATCTGTTTTTGCCCGCTTTGCGCTTCTTGGAGAAGGGAGGGCAAGCGCGTGAGCCGCCAGGCGCCTCCAGACCCGACCCTGGGCAAACTGCGCTGTGCTTGCCCAACTCACGCTTGGCTTTCTCTCTACCCTCAAGGATGATCGAACTTGGGCTTACTTCTGCAATAGCATCGGCGCCGCTGCCCAAAGCGACGTGGGCTAAATCGCAGCAGCTGAGCGCAGCCCCATGCGCGCAGCCCGTCAAACTATCGCCCTCGTCTGTGGCCTTGTCGCATTTGCTACAACAACGGAGCAGAACACGAGATGTAGGGGAGGAGTTCGAGGACGACTGGCCTTTGAGCTGCTTGCAGGCTGGCTCGTGCTCTGATGCAAGGTTCGTCAACTCCGGACTCGCAGCCAACCGCTCTCATTGTTGTCTTCCAGTGAGAATACGCCCAATACAAGCCCTAATGCTCCCTCAACAGAGCCCGAACCGTATCACCGCGTACGTTTCATGCCCATTGGGACCGCTCAAGAATCGCTGCAGTCTCTGCCGGCGTCAAACGGATCCAAAACTAGGAAGAACACCGGTTCCAAGCGCCGTAAAGCAGCCAGGCGCGCGCTGAATCAAATCTTGCCCGGTCCTCTTCCTCCCCTCAAGTCCGTCCATCAAAGGCGCCAGCGGGCCGCCAGCAGTGTCATGGTGGACCTCAACACCACATTCTTACCCATATCCAGTCCTGCATGGCAGGGTTTCCCAGACCACTTGAAACGACCGCCGGCGCCCACGCCATTCAGACCGCCCGTCTTCGAAACTTCAACGCAGCCGACGCCCACGGTGTCTGGCATGGCGGAAGGAAACTTTGTTCCATCTCAGAGCGAAGTGGACAAGATGGTTGGCGAGCAAGGATTCACCTACATCAACTGGGCCGGAAAGTAGGTCTCTTTGCCTTGTTTTGTCTACATTACTGATCTCCCATTACAGAGCGCGTGTAGACGTCGTGGACTCTGAAGGTCGCATCTTTCTTTCCTTGGCGGGAAAGCCGAGGGATCTTGCTGGCTACGCAATCGCCACCGAAGCTGCCGCCAAACTTCTGCTTGAGGAGCTTGAGAAGTGCCGTTTCAGCACACAGGACATTCATCATCGCCGTGCAGGTCCAGAGGGATATGCAACTATCACCGCTGGCATTTCGTACGGTGGAGGGCGAAAGCAGCCCGGAAATGTGGTGCATGGCAAGGCTGCCCATGCCAACGCTGCCGAGCGCCTCAAGGAGAGCCCCCACATCAAGAGAATCGTTGGTTTCACGAACGGTGCGCAAATCTATTGCCCAAAAGGTCCTGGTCTCACTAAGGCACCAGACGCCTTTCGTGTAACAGCACCAGAGCTTTGGTTCTACTATTGGCTCAACATGACGAGCTTGCTCCAGTGGGGCGCGTCATTCCTTCTCTGGGCGTTTGCAAGGAGCGTCTTTGCTGCTTGCACTTTTAACCTTGGGCCACGGGCGGTGACTTGCGACCATCTCGACTATGCCAACCTTGTATGGGGATGGTGTGTCGTCACAGCGCTGGGATGGTTTGATGCAGATCGAGGGGGACATCTAATTCTGCGGGATCTCAAGCTAATCATCCGATTCCCAGCAGGTTCAAGCATATTCTTACCCTCAGCGCTTCTCAAGCACTCGAATGCACCCGTGCAACCCACCGAGAAGCGCCTCTCGTTTACACAGTACACAGCTGGCGGGCTATTTCGATGGGTTCAGAACGGGTTTCAAGGAGATGGGAAACTAAGCATGTCTGCCCATGAAAAAGCGACTCGAAAGCATCAAGCAGAGGAGAGATGGAGATTCGGTTTGTCAATGTTTCCAGTGTATAGTTACTAAGCGACCGATAATATGCAGAATATAGAGCCCTACATTACGCGTTTTATACATATATGTATCATTACAACTTATACACCCATATTGAATATTTATTGCGCCCAGCGAGGCACGTGACAATTTAGCTTTAGCTGAGTCAGTGAGTCGAGTCGGTCGACTCGACTCTCGCGTTCAGCTGCAAGCTGTGGCGGTCCAATATTTGGGCTGTCAATCAATTGTCACGAACACCCGGAATTTACCGACTCATGACATGCGTAAGTACAATCGTTGCCTTGCGCAGCTCTTCTTTGTTCGCCTTGTAAGCATCTGTGGCCTCTATCGTTGCTTTGCCTGTGCCCGGCTCGCCTCTCTGGGCTTCTCTGTATTCCGCTTGCCAGCATATCGGATAACCAATCGATCTTTGTTCGCGTGTCTTTATCTCGTCGCATTCGCTTTTCCCCCCATGAAAAGGTGCTTTGTCAACACCTCAACTATATATGCATGCGGAACCTTACTATTTTCTCCATTACGAACGTCAACCCGTCCCCTTTCCACATGCAGGCGTTTGCTCCTTTCCTCCAACCACCTCTCCCCCTTATCACTCAACGTATCGACTGGAGCGAGAACGCTGAGCGCACCCTTCCGGTGTATGGAGCGAAGATGGATGCAGCACAATTACAGGCAGAGCTTATCGCTCGGCGTCCCGCCGTATCAAGCGCCCCGGATGCTACACCAAGGCCTTCTCCCGTACCTGTATCTGGCCCAGCCACTGCTCTCGTTTCCTCGCCAGGATCCGGGCAAACCTCTCCGGCCACCGGTCGCGTGTCACTTGGCACAAGAGTGCCTTTGTTGGCACCGCAAACATCAACCCCGCCTTCCGACGTTCTTCTCCAACCCGCGACAGGTCTCGCGACTTGTCCAGCATTCAATTCGGCGCCTGCAGAGGCTTCGCACGCTATCCTTGGATCTACCGCTGCACCGCTAAGCATCAAAATTGACAGCAAGTACGAGATACCTCAAGGACAGCCTGGAAAACAAGGTCGGGGTGGGTACGATTTGGAAAGCAAGCTCAAAGGGGAATGCCACTGGTCCGCAGAGGAATATGAGGCAGTCGGAGTGAGTCGATCTGTTTCCTGTATGCTCTTTGATCTCATTGTTCCTCTAGTCTTTAGTCCTCGAACTTGCGCCTATATATCTAAACCAAGACGTTTGTTTCAGGAGAAACAAGACTTTGCCTATAGCAGCACTATGTCTCAAGGTGCGTCCGTCCATTTAAGATGTTCGAAATTCGCGCCTGAGTCGGCCCAAGGTCCTTGAAAAACATCCCTTCCTTAGATCATATCGCGACCACTGGCCAATAAAGGCCTTCATCAAACTGCACCTCAAGGGCACTTCTCGGAAGCACCGGACCTCTCAAGCTGAAGACAACTAGATCGGTTGCACATACCCATAGACACATACTAAGTTTGTCTCAATACACAGAATCTTGATATTTGTGATAGTATGCGCCCCGTGTAGGACGAACTAAGAACGCTCCGTCTTCAAGTGGGCCGGCTCAACTATTACCACTACATGCACTTGAGCAAAGGCCCCGTTTCTTTGGTCTGGCTGGAGTAAAATTACACGTCAGCGTACGATTTCGTGAATCTAGATTATTGTAGTCAGGACAAACATACATGAACCAAGACACAACGCCCTTCGGGCAGGGGGTAGAAGAGAGGAATGACGTACGGGAAGAGAATAACTGCAAACATAAGCGCAACACCTAGCCTAGAAATGAGAAACAACCCATTGTATACCTTGAATGCTACATGCAGCGGCTTGTCTTATGCTGGTTGCAAACAGACCAGGACTGCACGGCAATACATACCTCCATATGCGTGGATAAGGCTACAGCTGTAGATGCTACCGCCAATCGGGCGCCCGGCGTCTCACATTACGTCTGGGATGGTTTGAACGGCCGCTCAAGGGAGCTCAGCAATGTCTACTTGGAATAGTGCGCACGATAATCCTCTATCTTCTCTACTCTCCAGTGTAGTTCCCAAGGTGTGTCCTCCATGACGACATCATCCGAGCTGGCGGTAAGATCGACACCCTTTTTTAGCTCCCTCTCGACCCATCCGCTAGCTAGTCTTGTCTGACGAGACAGATGCAGATCGTGATCTTCACGAGCTTTCCGAAACACCTCCGCGATGCGCGCTCGATAGGTAGTGGCTTCACTCTTGGCCCAGTGCTCTTGATCCTTCAACTCTTCTATGTAAGCTTGAGCGCGTGTTAACTGGTCCTTCACAGCAGCAGTGTGACTGGCAAAGGATGTGAGACGAGCGGACAGGTTGCGAACATCTTTCCTCAGCGCGGGGATCTCGATTTTGCACTGCAAATCTGTTCAGATGAAAACATAGCGATACAGACATGGAGCCTGCCTGTCTTTCCAACTCGAGTCGTTTTGCCTGTAATTGCCGTGATTGTTCAGCGATCTGTGCCAGGAACGTCCTCAGAATCAGGCTGCACTAGCCAGGGAAACGGACATGACGCACCCATGCTCCTTCGTCAGGCTCATTCGAGCCCTCCTTCGCCAATTGCTGCCATTTAACGCATAAATCAAGCAACGAGATGGGGACAGGAAAGACCACCCACAGCTCTCTTACGGAGAGCCCCAACTTCGGCATGGAGAGCATTCAATTGTAGGACAGTCTCGTTGACGATGACCAGCTGCATAGAAGAGTTCAGGTTTGCAGGCGTCTAGAACACAGAGGCCTATACTTTGGAGTCATACTCGTGTTTGGCAGCATCTATGAGAGGCCAATAATAAGAGACGATGGCCGTTGCGCTCTTCAAGTCGGAAAACTAGAAAAGTCGATTCAGCAGACCCGAGAGGTGCTAAAGATAAACAAGTGCCTTGTTCTCAGCTTCATGGAGAAGGCGCATCTGATCATCTCTCTCCTAAAGTCATGTCGTGAACGGAAAGGGTGTGGAGTTTTCACGTATCACACACCTGGACCGATTGCTTCAGGGACTTGCTAGTCCTTTCATAAACGTCTCGGAGGCGAGCCACCTCTGTGTTATCTGGCACAAGCATGTATTGATGCTCAGTCTGGTCCGACTCAGAAAACGGCAGTGGCTCCGTCCCCCGCATTGGTGGCTCCAGCTGCTCCAGGGCTTTGCGTTTCTGAATCAGTGGCGTTTGCGGCGGACTTGGTGCCCGGGCTATCGGAGCGGTCGCCATGGATGTGAGGAAAGACAGCAGGTGCGCATCGTGTACTTTCTTGAAGACAAAGAACACATAGATGGGTTTGTCCTGGGGCCTGATGTAGATGTCGGAGTCACGTGTTATGACAGGGCGACTTCCTAGAATGGCAGCGAACGACTTATAAAGAGCGGTAAGACTTATGCTTCACATCTTCTACAAGCTCTCATGGACTTGTCATACATAAGCTATGGTGAGAGTGCTCGTAATCCCATCGTTGATGTTACAGTGGCAGAGCTGCGAACCCGCATACAGGTGCTTTATAATGTCTTTGTCCGAGTCTCCTCGTTAACCTCAGGATCACAGGCACTCTTTGATAGCGCCGTCCGTCTTGTGAAAAAAGAGGAGGATAAGTTCCTTGCGAGTCACACCCAATCTATGCGTGGAATCTTGCAGCACATCGGATCGTTGCGTTCCAATCACGCTTGTGCGTGTAACTCGGCTCAAGTGGATGCATCACTTCTAGGGCTAATCGTATGAGCAGATTCATCCGAGGAAAAGAATCCCTTTCTTCGAATTGCGATGCTCCGAGCGCTTTCTGCTACTGTCAAGGCGTATGAAGTCTCCGCTGAGGTGTTCTACCTTACCGTTCATGACGGTCTGGACGCTATCTGGGCGGAATTCATAGCCATAAAGTCAGAGATTCTAGTGCAATCTACCGAGCATTCTGGAGCATCATCAACCCATCTCGCCCAATTTCAGTCTCTGCTGAAAGACCAGCTACAGGCATGTGTCTCCTATCTGACATGAGCATCCTCTCATTTCATGAAACTAGTTGCTCCTCGAGCGTGTTATCCTCACGCGGAATGCAGCTGACCAAGAGTTTAAGGCTATTCATCACACCATAGAATGTATCACCGCGGATGTGAGCGCTCTCGGTTCCCAGGTTGCGGTTTACTTACCTTCGATGCAGGTTCGTGGAGGCCGAGTCGGCAAATCGCGTCAATACAACATCGACACGGGTCGGGATTGGGCTTGCCTCGTTTTGTGGCTAGTCCTTGGATTTGGAGTCACCATGACTTTGTTCTTGATCTACGGTTGAGTACATATGAATGACAGTACACCCTGACAGCACACCGTCTTCGTTGCATATCTTGCTTGATAACACATCTTCGCATTTCCAGACGCATAATTGAGGGTGTGGCCAGCCTTCCTCGCATATGTACTACGCTCTCTCTCACTGGGTCGTGTTCAGCACTGGTAGTAATGCTCGCGCATAAACTGGGTCGGGTGGCTGTGCCACGCAGCCACCCGACTCGCCCTTTCGTGGGTAACTTACATAACATGTGCATCGCTTTGCGACGTTTGTATGCACCATCACTGCATCAGATGTCGTCGATTGCTTGCTTGCTTCCAACGTCCAGCCACACCGAAGTGAGCGCACCGTCTGAAACGGGTACAACGTGCACCCCATCCAGCGGTACAGTGGACAGATGAAGAAACATGTCGGCCTCCCGCCAAGATGCGTCACCGTAACAAGCGCCTCAAGATCAAGCAAGACGATCCAAGATGACATCGAGCTACCGGTCCTCACTCGCTATGCTGTCGTCTGTCAGGACTCATGCTCGAAGGAACTGTCTAGCCTGCCATCTTGGACTTGTAGCTTGTATCTGCGCGCTTGTGCCCTCAAACACGCAAGCGGGTTGGGCCACTGCCTTGCAACATGATGGTTCGCAACAACACCATATCAAGAGTCCATTCATTGCTCCCAGGAAGCAAGTCGGAGAGAGCAAGATCCTGGTCCGCAAGTGCGCTGAAGCTTGGATCTGTTCTGTACAGATCACAATATGGATGCAAGAGTGCAAAGAGGAAGGCTGAATCTGAGCTCGATGAGATCGAGCTCTCGAGATAAACGAGTGCTCGCTGCCACATGCATCGTTCACGATGAGATCAAGCTATAGAGGCAAACGAGCGCTCGCTGCCACCCGCGTCGTCCACGATGGCATCGAGCCATCGAGACAAACAAGTGCTCGCTCTCATCTGCATCGTCCACCGCTTCCAACTCTATGCCTCTCTCAACCGCTGTGCAAAAGAAGATTGTGCGCTGTCTGCGCAGTTGCGAAACTGGGGGCGTGTGAGTGGTTGCGGTCTCCTTGGTACTAGATGCTTACCTTGGGTGCAGGACACAAGTCGATCTCAGCGTCATATCTCCCTCCCAACTTTACAAAACGTACGCGAAGGACGGGCGCGGATGGCTGTATACGCTCGTCGCCATCCCTGAACGAACGCTCGAAGACTTCCTTTCTGGTTCGCTAACATCGTCCGATCTGTTCTCCGTCTCGAGGGTGAAGGCCGGCCATGCCGTCCACTTCCGACGCCGACAGAGAGAGTACCGCCGATGCGAGCGATCCGGGTATGCGTTCATCTGGCTGAAGTTGTATAGCGTGTCGAGACGAATGCGCTTTGGTGCGCTCCTCACCGCAGGCCCGATTCGCTTTACTGACGCGTTTCAGAGCACATCGTTCATACCGCTCTGGACTCGATCGGCCAGCGGGCGAAGGTTCCGTGCAGCTGCAAAGGCTACACGCGACTGCATCGCGAATTTTGGAGGCTCTCTGACATTGGAGGCTTGGCCAGCCTGAAGCACATCGTTGGATTGTGCGCCAAGTCTGCTGGCGAATCACTCGCGGATTAGACCGGTAAGCCCCGCGATCTTTCAGACTGTCTCTACTAATCTTCATTTTCAGGTGCTCGAGGTCGCGTACATACAGCTCCTGTACATTTATGTAAAACTCGGTTGTCCCTTATCAGCGCCGCAGCACCGCCGATGGAAGATAAGATGAAATCGCGTCCTTTCCAACAAACCGCCATGACCCAGCCCTACGTCTCACTCGCGCAACCTCGCTGGCCAAGAACACACCAACGCGCATCGCCGTCGTCTGCAGCTCCCTGGGACTCGAGCGAAGGTTGGCAAGGACGCATCGGGGCTTAGCCCACTCCACGCTCTTTTCCGACGACGCTCCCGTCCGCCTTCGCATTCGCCCTCTAACTTACGCACTTCTTTCGCAACCAGTCCGTGTCTCTTGATGCCGAGCAGTCCACCCCCACCGCCTACTAGCTTGCCAGCCGCCGTGTACAAACCGTGATCGAGAAGCAGGTGCAGCTGAGAATGGAAACAAGGACGAGGAAGACCATACGCGGACACTCGCAGACGGGTGACGGAGCTGGGACACCGTGCGGACGTCTTGCAGCAGACGCGGAGAGGATTGGGAGGCCCACCAGGACCCGTACACGACTGGTGGAAGGTTGGAGGAGGACCTGGAGATGGACGCGTTGATCAAGGACCGGAAGCGGACGCGGCTCCGTGTGCCGAACTAGACGCTGTGGGCTGTCCCTAACCATCGCCACGAGCTGATGCTGGGCGCGTTTCAGACCATCGATCCGCTTGCAAATTTTGAATGAGAGTTGCCGGGTTTCAGAGCGGGTTTCAGCCCTCATGATAGAATCCCAATATCGTTTCCGACGTCAGTTCAATGACTTACATGCGTTGTTGTTGCTAATTGATTTTGAGTGGGCGCTCCGAGAGTAAGCACGATCCACAGCGAAGGTCAGTAAGGGCGCGTCGCGCCTCTTGTTGTCTGCGCGCGTTGTCTAACGTTTGTCTCTGATAGATCTGGATCCAAACCAGCTGCTAGCTTAGGTATCTGCAACTCGTTCGCGAAGGGATATCCGAGCTCGGGAGCATATGTGTGTCGTTGTCATTTGTGCGGGTGTGCTTATCAGCGATACAGGGCTCGCAAATTGTATCGGCAACGGCGGATTTCTATCATCTCCGTCCATGTTGTAGCGTCGTTTCCGTAGCAGATAAAGAGCCGAAATGAATTGGTTCGCAAAGCAGGTACATGGAGTACTTCATTAAGCTCTCGATCTCTCTGCCGCAGTCCAGACAGAAACACATCGACCCGACACCTTCTGCGTAGATCTCTTCTCTCAACTGGATGGGATCGGAGCCGCTGCGCGCCTCGGATGGTGACGCTGTGCACTAGTCTTCCCGCTACAAGCTGCGCCTCTACACAGCCACCCGAGTCACAATCAGTCGGGTTTGATCAAGCGTACACCCTCCACCGGGAAACCCTCCCGACCATCTGTCGGGTGAAATGGCCTGGGTACGGAAGAGGGGGGATTCTATGATTTGTCTCGGCTCTGATCTCTGTGCGTCTGTAGGGGATCAGAGGATCAGAAGCGATAGACCTGAAGCACGCACTGTTACATAGCAGCTAAATTGAGACTGGTCTGCGCAGATCGGGCGAGAGAGAGCGCACCAAAGAAATCTCCGATTCTTCTCGCATTTGAAAAAGACGCCCGATCTGATACTGGTAGGAGGTGATAGAAGAACATATATCAGTAGGTAATAGTAGGATACATCAAAGAGCGGTGTGGGCGTGATACTGTACGTAGGGTAGGCGAATGTCGAGAGTAGTCGTGAAGAGCCAGAAAATTCGTCCCGTCGAGCTGAGGGTCAGGTTCAAGTCGCAGGTGTGGCTTGTTTGCGCTTGACGGCGTTAGTGGACGGCAACTGTTGGCGGTGTTGGTGGCGGTTCAATTACAGCCACCCGAGTCGCAATCAGTCGGGTTTGATCAAGCGTACACCCTCCACCGGGAAACCCTCCCGACCATCTGTCGGGGGAAATGGCCTAGGTACGGAATAGCGGGGATTTTATCGGTTGTCTCGGCTCTGATCTCTGTGCGTCTGTAGGGGATCAGAGGATCAGAAATCATAGACCTGAAGCACGCACTGTTAAATACCAGCTAAATTGAGACTGGTCTGCGTAGATCGGGCGAGAGAGAGCGCACCAAAGGAATCTCCGATTCTTCTCGCGTTCTGAAAAATATCCATTCACGGCTTGCTTTCATTCTGATCTGATACTGGTAGGAGGTGATAGAGAAACATATATTAGTAGGTAATAGGAGGATACATCGAAGAGCGGTGTGGGCGTGATAATGTACGTAGGGTAGGCGAATGTCGAGAGTAGTCGTGAAGAGCCAGATAATTCGTCCCGTCGAGATGAGGGTCAGGTTCAAGTCGCAGGTGTGGCTTGTTTGCGCTTGACGGCGTTAGTGGACGGCAACTGTTGGCGGTGTTGGTGGCGGTTCAATTACAGCCACCCGAGTCGCAATCAGTCGGGTTTGATCAAGCGTACACCCTCCACCGGGAAACCCTCCCGACCATCTGTCGGGGGAAATGGCCTAGGTACGGAATAGCGGGGATTTTATCGGTTGTCTCGGCTCTGATCTCTGTGCGTCTGTAGGGGATCAGAGGATCAGAAATCAGACCTGAAGCACGCACTGTTACATAGCAGCTAAATTGAGACTGGTCTGCGCAGATCGGGCGAGAGAGAGCGCACCAAAGAAATCTCCGATTCTTCTCGCATTTGAAAAAGACGCCCGATCTGATACTGGTAGGAGGTGATAGAAGAACATATATCAGTAGGTAATAGTAGGATACATCGAAGAGCGGTGTGGGCGTGATACTGTACGTAGGGTAGGCGAATGTCGAGAGTAGTCGTGAAGAGCCAGAAAATTCGTCCCGTCGAGCTGAGGGTCAGGTTCAAGTCGCAGGTGTGGCTTGTTTGCGCTTGACGGCGTTAGTGGACGGCAACTGTTGGCGGTGTTGGTGGCGGTTCAATTACAGCCACCCGAGTCGCAATCAGTCGGGTTTGATCAAGCGTACACCCTCCACCGGGAAACCCTCCCGACCATCTGTCGGGGGAAATGGCCTGGGTACGGAAGAGGGGGGATTTTATCGGTTGTCTCGGCTCTGATCTCTGTGCGTCTGTAGGGGATCAGAGGATCAGAAATCAGACCTGAAGCACGCACTGTTACATAGCAGCTAAATTGAGACTGGTCTGCGCAGATCGGGCGAGAGAGAGCGCACCAAAGGAATCTCCGATTCTTCTCGCGTTCTGAAAAATATCCATTCACGGCTTGCTTTCATTCTGATCTGATACTGGTAGGAGGTGATAGAGAAACATATATTAGTAGGTAATAGGAGGATACATCGAAGAGCGGTGTGGGCGTGATAATGTACGTAGGGTAGGCGAATGTCGAGAGTAGTCGTGAAGAGCCAGATAATTCGTCCCGTCGAGATGAGGGTCAGGTTCAAGTCGCAGGTGTGGCTTGTTTGCGCTTGACGGCGTTAGTGGACGGCAACTGTTGGCGGTGTTGGTGGCGGTTCAATTACAGCCACCCGAGTCGCAATCAGTCGGGTTTGATCAAGCGTACACCCTCCACCGGGAAACCCTCCCGACCATCTGTCGGGGGAAATGGCCTAGGTACGGAATAGCGGGGATTTTATCGGTTGTCTCGGCTCTGATCTCTGTGCGTCTGTAGGGGATCAGAGGATCAGAAATCAGACCTGAAGCACGCACTGTTACATAGCAGCTAAATTGAGACTGGTCTGCGCAGATCGGGCGAGAGAGAGCGCACCAAAGAAATCTCCGATTCTTCTCGCATTTGAAAAAGACGCCCGATCTGATACTGGTAGGAGGTGATAGAAGAACATATATCAGTAGGTAATAGTAGGATACATCGAAGAGCGGTGTGGGCGTGATACTGTACGTAGGGTAGGCGAATGTCGAGAGTAGTCGTGAAGAGCCAGAAAATTCGTCCCGTCGAGCTGAGGGTCAGGTTCAAGTCGCAGGTGTGGCTTGTTTGCGCTTGACGGCGTTAGTGGACGGCAACTGTTGGCGGTGTTGGTGGCGGTTCAATTACAGCCACCCGAGTCGCAATCAGTCGGGTTTGATCAAGCGTACACCCTCCACCGGGAAACCCTCCCGACCATCTGTCGGGGGAAATGGCCTGGGTACGGAAGAGGGGGGATTTTATCGGTTGTCTCGGCTCTGATCTCTGTGCGTCTGTAGGGGATCAGAGGATCAGAAATCAGACCTGAAGCACGCACTGTTACATAGCAGCTAAATTGAGACTGGTCTGCGCAGATCGGGCGAGAGAGAGCGCACCAAAGGAATCTCCGATTCTTCTCGCGTTCTGAAAAATATCCATTCACGGCTTGCTTTCATTCTGATCTGATACTGGTAGGAGGTGATAGAGAAACATATATTAGTAGGTAATAGGAGGATACATCGAAGAGCGGTGTGGGCGTGATAATGTACGTAGGGTAGGCGAATGTCGAGAGTAGTCGTGAAGAGCCAGAAAATTCGTCCCGTCGAGCTGAGGGTCAGGTTCAAGTCGCAGGTGTGGCTTGTTTGCGCTTGACGGCGTTAGTGGACGGCAACTGTTGGCGGTGTTGGTGGCGGTTCAATTACAGCCACCCGAGTCGCAATCAGTCGGGTTTGATCAAGCGTACACCCTCCACCGGGAAACCCTCCCGACCATCTGTCGGGGGAAATGGCCTAGGTACGGAATAGCGGGGATTTTATCGGTTGTCTCGGCTCTGATCTCTGTGCGTCTGTAGGGGATCAGAGGATCAGAAATCATAGACCTGAAGCACGCACTGTTAAATACCAGCTAAATTGAGACTGGTCTGCGTAGATCGGGCGAGAGAGAGCGCACCAAAGGAATCTCCGATTCTTCTCGCGTTCTGAAAAATATCCATTCACGGCTTGCTTTCATTCTGATCTGATACTGGTAGGAGGTGATAGAGAAACATATATTAGTAGGTAATAGGAGGATACATCGAAGAGCGGTGTGGGCGTGATACTGTACGTAGGGTAGGCGAATGTCGAGAGTAGTCGTGAAGAGCCAGAAAATTCGTCCCGTCGAGCTGAGGGTCAGGTTCAAGTCGCAGGTGTGGCTTACTTGCGCTTGACGGCGGTAGTTGACGGCAACTGTTGGCGGTGTTGGTGGCGGGTCAGTCACATCAATGTCACCGTCACTCACAGCGAAGGCGTCTAATAATATATTCATTTTATTGGTGGTTGCGGCTCGTGAGTGTCGACGGCGTAGTGTAATATTATTCCAATGCGGCTCATCAAGGTCGGCAGCACACTATATGACTCGTAAATTGACTTGTGTGTGCGGCCATGCAACGACTCGTGCCGACACATTGCGACTCGTTGCGACTCGCATCTTTTCTCACTGAAAAAAGAACATCTTTTTTCATTATCTGTTCTCGGTGGGAATAGATGTCTATTCTCATCGAGAATCGATCTGAAAAAAGATGATCTTTTTTCAGATCGATTCTCAGTGGGAACAGACGTCTGTTTTCCGTGAGAATCGACATTGAAAAAAGATGTTCTTTTTTCAGTGAGAAAAGAACATCTGCTTTTAGTGAGAATCGGTCTGAAAAAAGAACATCTGTTTACAGCTCTGTTTTGGGGGGAATAGACGTCTATTCGTGGTACAAATCTGGCTGTAAATCTACATCTATTTGCAATATCTTCCTGCTGTCTGAAAACAGAACGGTGAAAATCGAACTTCTAGATTGTCACGCATTTTCCGCGGAAAAAAAATAAGTCCCCCTGCAGTGTATTCAGTCGGTAGTGCTGGCACAGATCCGGGCTTTGATGAAGTATGATCGGGCCGTTCGGGCCCGTTCGGCCTGAGCTTGATCATCGATACAGTGGCAGATTAAAACTCGGTTTTGTCCGAGTGTTCCTCACCCTGTCCCTTCCTCTGATCTTCTAGTATGAGCAGCTTCTCCCCCCTCGCCACCGATGAGCAGGCGGTCGCCACTATCCGGACTTTGGCGGCCGATATCGTCTTCAAATCGAACTCTGGACATCCAGGTTCAATTCCTCCCCATCGTCGTTGGTGAATTGTAAGCGCTAACATGTACGACCAGGTGCTCCTATGGGCATGGCGCCCGTCGCTCATGTTCTCTTCTCTCGGTTCTTGACCGCCAACCCCAAGAGCTCCCACTGGTTCAATCGCGATCGTTTTGTCTTGTCGGTAAGCATCGGGGTGGAGGATCCAGCACGGTCTTCCTACTGATCTCGCCTCCGCAGAACGGCCACGCGTACTGCTTTCATCCAACCACTCTTTCAGTAACTAACACATTCCCGCGGGCAGATGTGTCCTCCAGTACACCATGCTCCACCTGCTCGGCTACAAGCTGTCCATGGACGATCTTAAGGACTTCCGTCAACTCAACTCCCTCACCCCAGGTCATCCAGAAGCTGGTCACACCGATGGTATCGAGGTCACAACGGGGCCTCTTGGCCAGGGTGTCGCAAACGCGGTCGGACTTGCGATCGCACAAGCCCACCTCGGTGCAATTTACAACAAGGAAGGGTTTGAGCTGATCAACAACTACACTTACGGTGGATTCCCTCGCCAAAATCACATCCCAACACAGCTCATGGCATTACATAGCTTTCTGTGGAGATGGTTGTTTGATGGAGGGTGTCTGCGCTGAGGCGGCCAGTTTGGCCGGCCACCTGCAGCTGGGCAATCTGATTTTGGTCTATGATGACAATCGTACGCATCGTTACCGGAGATCCGCTATCTATCTCTAATTTCGCCCAGACATCTCCATCGATGGCGACACCGCCGTTGCTTTTACCGAGGATGTTGGTGCCCGTTTCGAGTCATACGGATGGCAGGTGCTGTCGGTGAACGACGGTGACCAGTATGTGCAGGACTTTGCTCTCCCATCAATTTTTCCTCATCACCCTTACCAGTGATTTGGCTGCTATCTACTCTGCCATCGCCGAGGCTCGTAACGAGAAGACCAAGCCTACCATCATCAAATTGAAGACGACCATCGGCTTCGGGTCCAAGCAGCAGGGCACTCATGGTGTCCACGGTTCCCGTGAGCTCGGCCATTCGATACTTTTTTTCTTCGGCGATCTGATCCTTTCTAGCTCTCAAGGCCGACGATATCGTTGCCCTCAAGACCAAATTCGGTTTCTCACCCGACGAGAAGTTTGTCGTGCCCGCCGATGTCTATGCCTCCTACGCTGAAGTCGCGTCCCGTGGCGCTGCTGCTGAGGCCAGCTGGAACTCTCTATTCGCCGCTTACGCCCAGAAATATCCGGCTGAGCATGCCGAGCTCTCTCGTCGTATCGCCGGAGAGCTTCCCGACGGATGGGAGAAGGCACTCCCTGTTTACACCCCCGCCGATGCCGCTCAAGCATCCCGGAAACTGTCCGAAATCGCCCTGACCAAGCTCACCCCCGTCCTTCCCGAGTTGATGGGTGGCAGCGCTGACTTGACCGGCAGTAACTTGACCAAGGTCAAGGGATCTGTTGATTTCCAGCCTCCGAGCACCAAGTTGGGCTCTTACGCTGGAACTTATATCCGATACGGTGTTCGTGAGCATGCCATGGGTGCTATCGCCAACGGTCTGGCCGCATATGGCGGTATCATCCCGTTCGTTGCTACTTTCCTCAACTTTGTTTCGTACGCGGCCGGCGCCGTGCGTTTGTCTGCTTTGAGCAAGGCTCAGGTTATCTGGGTGGCTACCCACGACTCTATCGGTCTTGGTGAAGAGTCAGTGATTTGTTCACTACACTCTAGCGCGAGCCTGACAATCCCTGCAGTGGCCCCACCCACCAGCCTGTCGAGACCAACGCCCACTTCCGTGCCACGCCCAATATCGCGTTCTGGCGTCCGGCTGACGGAAACGAGACTTCCGCAGCCTATGCGATGGCGCTGAAGATGAAGCAAACGCCGTCCATCTTGTCGCTCTCTCGTCAAAACTTGCCCAACTTCGAGGGTTCGACCATCGAGCATGCTTCTCGTGGAGGCTACGTTGCCGTTGAGGAACCCAATGAGGCCCTCACCATCGTCAGCTGCGGTAGCGAAGTCAGCATCGCCCTCGAGGCCGCCAAGAAACTCAAGGAGCAGGGCCTCCCGACTCGTGTCGTGAGCTTGCCCTGCTGGCTGGTCTTTGACCAGCAGGACCAGGAATACCGCCTCAGTGTTTTGCGAAGCGGTGCACCCATCCTCTCCCTGGAAGCCCTGACTGTGAGTGACTCGTTCCGAATCTTGTGTGCTTGCTCAGGATATGTTTCCGTTCCAGACCATGGGTTGGGAGAAATACAGTCACGAGCAGTACGGTCTGCCGAGCTGGGGTGCCTCTGGTCCCTATCTGCAGGTCTACGAGAAGTTTGGTATCACACCCACCAACATCGCTGCCGTCGGAAAGAAAGTCATCGACTTTTACAAGAAGAAGGGCGGGGAGGTCGTCTCTCCCCTCGTCAAGGCTTTCACTTTGTAGATCAACTAACAATAAACCAGTAAAAGAGAACATGTACTTACTTCCAAATAGAAACCTAGAACGGGTGGACTGAAAACTGGGAACTTGATCACGATTGATCAGTACACCAACAAATCGTATTGATAGCATTCCATTACGCTAGGCGGGCTTCTGAACATCACAGTACTTACTACAGAGCTTGCACCTTCGACATGATTCAGTCTCTCCTGGAATGTACGACTGGCATTCAAGTAGCAACATGACGACGGGTGAATCATCTGCATCTAATGTTTTCTATGGACTTCCAGACTGTCCCAGGAAGCTCGTTCCTTCAGCTCGCTCTCAACAGCTTCGACATGGGGAAGGAGGTAACGGATGTCCTGCCAATCGTCAGCGCGTCAGTAAATCGCTGTTATGAGCGCGCACATCTTCCGGCTTGGTCCAAAGGTCTTTGGAGAGGGGCGCGTGGAGAACGTCGGCTTGAGAAGCACGCTTGATACGGAATTGGCGATCATAGGCTTCACGAGGAGTCAGGCGAGCGAGGGCCTGACGGCGGGATCAGCCAGCTACTCCTCCCAACACCCACAATCTTCAAACCTTCTGGACTTCCGGGCGCTCCTCAATCACTAGTGGTTTAAACATTGAGTACGGGCACGAGCGGTAAAAATCCGTACGAAGGAGCACGCACAGAGGTCGTCATACAGCAAGCCATACTGCCTGTAGAGAGAGCCGCCAGCATACCACTTGGCCGCCGGAGCGAATATTTTGCTAAGCGTGGGGGAGGACCGGATGTACGGTGCAAAGGAGAGACCCAGAGGACCGGCCATGGCTGTTATGGATGAATTCGGAGTAGCAAGTGTGACAGGTTGTTTGTTGTCACTGATCGGCTCAGATTTGGCAAGCCGCTCTTGATCGATAACTTTCGCGCGTATAAAGTCTGGATGTGACATCGTTAACGCGACTTTCGTCACCCTCACCACTCTTACATCGACCATGTCTAACAAGGAGCAGACCTATATCATGATCAAGGTTAGTCGCCTTGCTTTCTCTTCAGACGTTTGTTGACTCTCCCCAGCCTGACGGCGTCCAACGTGGACTCGTCGGAAAGATCATCACCCGTTTTGAGGAACGTGGCTACAAGCTCGTCGCTTTGAAGCTTGTTCACGCCACCACTGAGCACCTCGAGAAGCGTCTGTCCCATCTCATTTTCATCTTTCCATCGTGCACTCAACGACCAGTCTAGATTACGCCGATCTCAAGGGCAAGCCCTTCTTCCCTGGCTTGGTCAAGTACATGGCCGCTGGTCCTGTCGTCGCCATGGTCTGGGAGGGTCTTGACGCTGTCAAGACCGGCCGTGTCATGCTCGGTGCTACTAATCCCCTGGCATCCCCCGTTGGTACGTCCAGGAACGTAATCGACCCAAGTTTCTAGTCTCATAGACACCCTCAGGTTCGATCCGCGGTGACTTTGCTCTCGCCGTCGGCCGCAACATCTGCCACGGTTCCGACTCAGTCGAGAGCGCCCAAAAGGAGATCGCGCTGTCAGTGTCCCTAGCCGTGTCTGGATCGGAGTGCTCATGTGTTTGTCTAGCTGGTTCCCTGAGGGTATCATCCAGTACTCCAACGGCTTGGAGTCATGGATCTTCGAGTAGATGGTATATACCATACTTGCACGTGTACTTCAGAATCATTCAAACAAACCGCATTCATCGACTCCCTGGAAATACGTTCATCGATCTGCCGTCAATACTCCACGAACACGCTCAGCTAACATTACATACCAGACTGTACAGTATCAGATTATAACTGCTCTATCCTACAAACCCAATCTCAAGCTATCGCTTCTCGAACGCAAAGGCGATGTATATGTCTGTGGAGGCGATCAGAAAAAACAGATCGTTCAAGAGAACTCAGAGACACATACTCGCAGCCTCCCATTGGTCTTCGTCCATCGCACTCTCTCCGTTTGCGTCAACCACGTTCATCTTCACCATCAAGGGCCCAAAGTCTTTGTGTTCTCGATGGTCCTCGAAAACTTCATGAAATTCCTGTTTGTACACAGGATGTAGTCCGTATTCGGCTGCCATCTGCACCAAATTGTCCCAATGAACGACGTATTCGGGGACATCCTCGACAGCGTCTTGGAGATAGAACCAGTATTTGTGCCCAAAATAGCCTTTGTGATTTCGTTCTGCGAATCGAATTTTATAAACACCATTTCCGAACGTAAGTTCCGGAGCGTCCGGAGGTATTGCAGCAAGATTTTGCCTGAGCCACCTTGAGAAAGAAATTAAAGTGAAAGCATGTCCACATACAAAAGTTGCTCTGCGTTGGGTATGGTGCCGATGAAAACTCCGCCGGTCCGCAACCATCGACTGACGTTATCCAGCATACATCGCGCTTTTTGGACGCTTTCAAAAGCGTAGTGCATGCAAAATTGCATCGAGACAGCATCCAAAGGCCCTGCGAGCTTTGCAGGAGAGAAAGCACGCGCCAGGGATTCTGAGTAACAGTCTAGGCTGGCAAATGAGGCTTCAGGAATGTATCCCCGCATCCCCTGCCATCGTGCGCGAGCTTGATCAACCGATACCGATGCGATGTCTTCAGGAGTCAGCTGACAACATAAACGAGGATAGAGATAGAAGCGCACCCACGCAGAGCACTTCCGCAGCACGCGATTTGGCCCATTTTGTCAAGTCACCACCCTTGCCACAGCCCATGTCCAATACTTTCCCACGCCCCGAGCCTCTCGACCCTCGTCCTGATGTCACTTTACTGGCAAGGAGTGCCGGATGAGCAAATAGAGATATAAGCACAGATTTGACCCAATTGTTGAAACTTTTGAGGCCAATGATCGGAGATTTCTCGCGCTGAACCACACCAACTTCCGGGCGTGCATTGTCTTCGTGAATAGCTAGGTAAGCAAAGCGGATGGACGGATAGTGGCCACGCACAGTGCTCTACAACGACACCCACGTCTCCGGCATGCTTTTTTTGTGGGGGTTGATCGTGATCTGGCGTTCGGGAACGTGACCGCTTCCGTTTGGAGAGACGGGCGGATCCTTTGCCCTGGAATGTTTTGTACATGTCCATTTCTGCTCGTGACATGGGCCGAAGCACGGAACTTGCGGGAGATATTCGTTTCGTTGGCTGGTACTTTAATGTTTTTTGCATGGCAGGAGCACTTTTCAACTGGTCGTCCCCTGGTGATTTGACGAGTGATGGTGAATCGAATAAACTGGGAGTTCCTATCCGAGTTGCTATCCGTTCCTCTTCACTGTCCGTGCGGAGTAGTTGCGAAATTTTCGATGATTTAGGAGGTTCCTCGTTGTTGAGGAGCGCAGATAAAGCTGTCGCACGGCGCGTTGGGGCGGGCAGGGCACGCGATGGTGTTTGTGGTGTTGGAGGATGTGATGGGAGTTGGGGGGAATTGAGAAGCGATAAGGATTGTGTCGAAAGCACAGGGGAGTTCCTCACAGCATCCCTCACAGGATCGAATGCGGGCATCAGAGGATACGCAGAGGATTACAGAAACCGTGCGATCGTGGGTGTCTTGTGCGTGCGCGTGTCGGGGCACGGGATTCCCGCACAGTGGTCGTGAAGTGGTTTTCAAGCACCGGCTCTGTTAGCAGTCACCACTTGTGGTTGTGCTTTGGATGCTACGCGAAGCTCTAGAACAGATTTCAAGAGCAGTGGGAAAGAAAGGGAACAAACTAGTATGTGGGGATGCAAGGCAGTGCTGGCGCGTTTGTCTCTGTTATACCACTGCTTCGCGTCCACCGCGTCCGCAGGTCAACCGCGCCTCGGACCAACGGGTCCTATCCCCTAATTACGGAGCGAAAGCCACTTATCTAAATTGCTGAACCGCTCGCGAATGAAATCTTCGTGGACACATGCATATCAAGACAATAACCATTCAAGGCTTCAAGTCCTATCGCGACATAACGAACATTGAACCTTTCTCTCCAGGCCACAATGTCGTTGTTGGCAGGAACGGCTCTGGGAAGAGTAACTTCTTTGCTGCCATCCGTTTTGTTCTTTCAGACGCGTACACGTCTCTGTCAGCGGAAGAGCGACGCGCTTTGTTGCACGAAGGCGTTTCGACTACGGCCACGTTCTCTGCCTACGTTGAAATCATATTCGATAACTCGGACCACCGATTTCACACGGGACACGATGAAGTCGTCCTTCGACGTACGATTGGAGTGAAGAAGGACGAGTATTCTTTGGACAAGAAGAGTTCAAGCAAAGCGGAGGTCATGGAACTGCTCCAGACGGCTGGATTCAGCAAAGCGAACCCCTACTACATTGTTCCACAGGGCCGGGTGTGTTTTTTGTGCCAAACATTTCACGGCACTAAAACTGTTCTGCACCAGATCACAGCTCTAACGAATGCCAAAGACACGGAACGACTCGCACTCTTGAAGGAAGTCGCAGGCACGAAAGTCTATGAACAACGGCGCACTGAATCGCTCCGTATTATGGCAGAAACGGAGGCCAAACGCGGAAAGATCAACGAGCTCATTGAGTACATCGAATCCCGCCTGACGGAGCTCGAAGAAGAGAAGGAAGAGCTCAAAGAGTTTCAAGAGAAGGACAAGGAACGTCGTTGCCTCGAGTACGCTCTCTATCAGCGTGAATTGGACGAAGTCGGCGAAGCTTTGGAGGAGATCGAAGAAGACCGACGTGCTGAGGTACATGGCGCAAATCAGAGACGCGAGAAGTACAATGAGCGAGAGAAGGAGGTCCAGGTGCGTAAACATAACTTACTCCTGTTATGCCTTCTGTTCTTATAGGGAGATGTAGGAACTGGAGAGAATTATCTCGGAAACCAAGCACTCGCTGGAGACAGCAGGTTCAACGCGTCAAGACGCGCAGTCGGAGCTGACAGACTTCATCCGTTCTCGCACAGAACTCGAATGCATCGTAAATGATCTTCGCAACGCGGGGGTTCGAGCTGGAGGCAGAAGAGAGCAGAACGAAGCAGAGCTGGTCCAGATTGAGACCCAGATCGAAGCGCGTGAAGGATCTCTGGCCGAAATCTTGCCCGATTGGGAATCTGTGCGTGCGGAGGAGTCAACTGAGCGCAGGGCGCTTGACGAGGCCAATGGAAGAATCGGGGCGCTTTCTGCCAAGCGAGGTCGAGGTGCCAAGTTCCGAACCAAGGCCGAACGCGACGCGTTTCTAAGGCAGGAGATCACATCGATGGGCGAGTACAAGGAATCGCAAACCGATGCTCTGCGGACGACCAAAACTGGCTTACAAGAAGCGCAACGCAGCCTCGGAGAGCTGGACGGCCAGATCTCTAACGTGCAGGGGAAGATCGAGGATGGCCGGCGGCGGACGAAAGAGCTCGTCGATGAGATTACCAGTCTCAAAGAGCAGGAGAGTGAGCTCGTGGAAAAGCGGAAGGACCTCTGGCGGGAGGATGCAAAGATCGACAGTCAGGTGTCTCGCGCTGCTACCGAGCTCAAGACCGCGGAGCGAGCTTTGGCGGGAATGATGGACAAAGACACCGGTCTAGGGCTGAGTTCTGTGGACAAAATAGCAGAGCGCTTCAATCTGGGTGGCGTGTATGGTCCATTGTACCGTCTTTTCGAGATCACCGACCACAAGTTCAACATTGCAGTCGAATTGACGGCAGGCAACAGGTAATAATGGCACGCTGCTAATTTTTTGGGGCTCAAGCTGTTTGCAGTCTGTTCCATGTTGTAGTAGACAACGACGAGACGGCATCGAAGGTCCTCGATGTTATGCTCAAGGAAAAGACGGGCCGGGTCACGTTCATGCCGCTGAACCGGCTCAAGCCGACGTATGCCCAGATGCCCACCGGTCAAGATGCGATTCCGATTCTGGAGAAACTTGACTACGATCCCACGCACGACAAAGCATTCCAGCAAGTGTTTGGCAAGACCTGCGTCTGCCGGGACCTCACGATCGCTGCTGCCTACGTCAAAAGCCATGGGGTCAATACGATCACCTTGGACGGCGACAAGGTTGATCGGAAGGGAGCTCTGACGGGTGGATTCCACGACGTGAAGCGGTCCAGGATTGATGGCATCAAGGCTGTCACGAGTTGGCGCTCAAAGTGGGAGGCGGAGGAGGCCAGGTCACGCGAGGTCAAAGCGAGCATTTTACAAGTGGAGCAGCAGATCACGGCTGTGGCGGGAAAGATCCAGGTCAGCAACCAGAAAATCAACCAAATTCGGGATTCGAAGGATCGCCTGATGGATGAAGGGACCGCCTTGACGAAGGAGAAGGAAAAGGTCAAGGAGCGCATCGCCAAGCTGGAGCGCGACCAGGAGGAGCTCGAAACTGAATTGAGCGGTCTAGATGCGAAGATCGCTGGCTATCAGCAAGAGCTTCAGAGTCCGCTTACCAAAGGCCTCACTGACGAGGAAGAGGACGAGATGGTTCGGCTGACTGAAGAGGCGGAACGTCGGACAAAGGAATTGGTTGAACTCGGGAGGAGCAAGAACAAAGTCGGTGGTCCTTCGAATGACCCGTGCTGCGGCGAGACTGATGACTTGTAGTTGCAAGGCAGGAAGAGCGCAATCGAGATCGAGCTCAACGAAAAGCTTTACCGGCGGCGCGATGAACTTAAAAACAAGCTCGTCGAGCTGAATGAGGGCGAGGATGTGTCTTCGGCAGACGACTTGGAGAGCCGTTCGCGCGAGTTACGCTCATTGGGTAAAACGATTACAACGCTCAGTGCGAAAGTGGAAGCGATGGAGCAGGAGATCGACGAGTTCCAGGCCGAGCTTCAGCGACTTCGATCAGCGCTGGAGAAAGTGCAAGGGCAGCAAGCAGAAGATAGCCGCAATATGTCGCGACAACAAAAGACTACGGAGCGATACCTTGCAAAGCGGCAGATGCTGACAAGCCGCAAGGACGAGTGCAATCGCAACATCCGGGATCTTGGAGTTCTCCCAGAAGAGGCCTTTGACAAATACACCAAGGAGAAGCTCGATCGCTTGGTCAAGAAGCTGCATGTGGTCAACGAGGGCCTGAAAAAGTTTGCACATGTGAACAAGAAGGCATTCGAGCAATACAACAACTTCACGAAGCAGCGGGATCAACTATTGTCGCGCCGGGAAGATCTCGACAAGTCGGCGACCTCTATCGAAGAGCTCGTTGAAGTTTTGGATCAGCGCAAGGACGAAGCAATCGAGCGCACTTTCAAGCAGGTCGCGAGCAACTTTGAGGAGGTGTTTGAGAAATTGGTGCCTGCTGGCCGCGGGCGACTTATCATCCAACGGCGCATCGACCAGGACGAGGACGAGAACATGGACGACACCCAGCAGACTTCTATCGACAACTACACCGGGATCTCCATCAAGGTCCGTGCTACTACTTCATTTTTCTTCTTCTCTTGGTGGCCCGGACAATGTGTTGAGCGGAGCACAGGTCTCGTTCAACTCGAAGGTCGACGAAGGTCTGCGCATCCAGCAATTGTCAGGCGGTCAGAAGTCGTTGGTCGCGCTCGCGACGGTGTTTGCGATCCAGAAGAGCGACCCGGCGCCTTTCTATCTGTTTGACGAAATCGACGCCAATCTCGATGCGCAATACCGCACGGCCGTTGCCTGTGAGCTGCAATTGTCTTTAACTGAATCTGTCCGCTGACAGGATTCTCATCCTCAGCCATGATACATTCTCTCGCGGCGAATGCCCAGTTCATCACCACGACGTTCCGACCCGAGATGCTGGTCACTGCGGACAAGTTTTACGGCGTGTTGTTCAACAACCAGAAGGTGTCGTCCATTCGCACTATCAAGCGGGAAGAGGCGATGGAGTTTGTCGACCAAGAGGCGCAGGCTGTCTAAGATGTTTTCAAGGGTGTATTTCTTCGTGATGTTTCCGTGCTTTGATGTATTTGTGCTCTTGACGACAATTGTCTAATCAGAACTTGCTATTGACACATGAGCAAGTCTTTGGTACATATGTAATATTTGTACAGTGTCCGTAAGTATCGTAAACAACAGTGAGAACAAACAAACAAGAGGTCGTTAGTATTCGAATAGATCAGAGGACGGCATTCAGCACTTGAGCACGTCCGTGGATATCAGTGGGCGCGTTTATCTGCAGTCTTGTAGCCGGAAATACACAGAAAAGAGAGGAAACCCCTCACAATTGTTGTTGGTCCGGATTTGCCACAAAAAGACTGGGCCTTGCAGCAAATCCGTAGTTGACTCCGTGTGCAGTTCGTTTCGGAGTTGCTGGTGGCACGTCCTGTGACATGCGCCGCTCGTAGGCTTTGACCCGGTCGGCAACGGACGTGCCCGATGATCCCGAAGACGATGCGTTGGACAACGGCGGACGCGGTTGTGGGCCAGGCGGTGAAGGTGGAAGGTTGAAGGACGATGCAGGCACCATTTCGACGGGCGAAGTCATGATGACCTCATCCTCTCCGCCTGTCCAGCTGTCGGCGTCGGTTGCCCCTCTTGTACTTGTGCTGCCGCTTTGCCTCGAGCCGCGCATCACTATATTCATTCCGCCGATGCGTTCCAGCGCAGCTGAATCGGCCGTCTGCTGGGTCTGGATCGAGGACATCGACTTGCCGTGCTGCCCGGGTCGGCGGTAAGGCCCCGGTCCTGCTTGACTCGTGTTGGATCCATCGGACCGCTCGCGCAGCACACTGGCTGTTTCCTCCTCCACAAATCCAAGCCGTTGAGGTAATGGATTCGGGTCGCGGAAATCCATCGCAGGCGCCGCCGATGTCTGACTCGTTCGGCGATCAAGCAAGCTCTTGCTTGAGAACCGAGCCCACCAAGTGTCGCTCCGCCGCATCGGCTGGTCGGGTTTGGGGGGGAGCATATCCAGGATGCTTGACGTCCGAGGTCTGGACGCGCTGCTGCCAATAGACAAAGGCGGCGTCGAATGCGATGTGGACGAGAACGATCGTGAAAGTGAGTCAGGAGGGGCGTGCTGGTCGCTCGAAGAACCTGACACGGATGCCGATGCAGCGGACGAAGACAGTTCTGTGACAGGACTGAGAATGCCTCTGGGGACGAGCCGGATTGCTTCTGTCCCTTGTTCATCTTCAAAAGGGTCCGAGTAAGTGCTGTGGTAGCTCATCTGCCGTTGAACAGAGGTACGAGCGGCGACGTCCTCCAATGGTTGGTCACGGAAAGGATCTTTCTCCGACGGCCCTTGCATCAACGAGGCGTTGCGACTCAAGAGACGGCTCCCGTAGGTCATGGTGCTGGCCGCGCTATTCTCTCGCCGAGCCTTGGGGCGGAAGACGTTCGCAAGACTCCAGCTACTTCCGCCGCTGGCTTCTCGCTGTCGCCGGCTAGATCGTTCGTCTCGCTCATCGAACCAGCCAAAACCTCCGAAGTCACGTGTATCTTCATCAGCGAGCATGTCTCGGCGCTGTTGTTTGTCCTTCAGAGCAGCGACCGCGCCCGTGCCAACAACGCCGCCCGCTCCGACCATGTCTGCTACTCGCAAACCCCAAGACTGCATTGTTCCGATGACGCCGTCGCCAGCCCGATGGGAATCGAACATCAACGCTGGGGGAGGAGCACCGGCCTCGTCATCGTTCAAAGGTGAGAAAACACCCCCTTCGTTCCAGCGCTTGGTCCGTTCTCGGCGAAGATACCAGACGGTGCAAGCCGCTGCCACAACAAGCGCGAGCACACCGAGCACGGCACCAATAGCGATCCTGGTCGTGCTTTTGGTTGACCCACTGCCGGGACCATCTGGCTTCCGTCCGTCGGTTCCGCCGCCGTTGGTGCCTCCGCCATTCGATCCGCCACCGTTGCCGCTATTCCCACCGTTGCCACCATTCCCGGTCGTTAGCGTCGAGGATGGGTGGACGGAGCTTGTCACACTGCCTGTCACACCGCTGCCCTTGGTTCCGGTTCCAGTCGGGGCATCTGTGACAGTGGATGTCCCAAAGGGGATCGTGGCCGAGACAGTGGCAGTAGGGGGAGGGGCAGTGTAGCTTGGCTGGAAGGTCTGCGATGAAAAATCGAACACAGACAGTGCGGCATCGGCGGGTCCATTTTGGGCATAGCCTGCAAGGGGGGCTCAGAACCTTCAGTGATCTCGGTCAAGAGATGACTAACCAAATCCGAAAATGACTTGATTGTTGTACGCGACTGCAAAATGATCACGTCGCGGCCCGAGCGAGTCCAGCGCAGGCACGCTAGTCCAAGATTGGGTTGTGATGTTGAAGATCCAGCCATCACTATACGTCGTTTGATAGACAGCATCACAGCCACCATGAATGACGATGCTGTCCCCGTCCAGCACGTAAGCGAAACCACGTCTTCCGCTGGGAACCGCCGCCGCAGTGCCTATCGTCTGAGACGACCAGCTATTGGTGTCCGTGTCAAATGTGTAGAACACGTTCATCGGAAGAAGCCCATTGGGACCCAAGCCCCCGAAAACGAGCACCTGGCCATTGGCCAGAATCACCGCAGCATGCCCAGTCAACGCCGGCGGGGCCGAGTCCGTGGGGAGCGGAGAAAAGGTCGAAGTCGCCGGATCGAATACATAGTTGTCCGGAAACGCGATCCTGGAATCGTCGCCCTTCTCGCCTCCGAAAATGTAGACCTCTCCGCTTGGACTACTGACAGCGGCGTGATGGATGCGTCGCATGGGTTCAGCGCCCCAGCCCACCGTCTCATTCGTGAATGACGGTGCACTGCGATTCAGCACGTCCAGAAGCACAGCCGAGTCATTGAGAGTGTCGATTGGGACGACGGGGGTAGGCAGCCCACCGAAGAGCAGCAGTTGATTCTGACCAAAGGCGGAGAGTGTGTGCCAAGCGACGGAAGGTCCGTGCGACTGACTCGAGTTGGCGGGGTCGCTGATCAGCATCCAGGGCGGAGAATCGACTGAGAAGTCTGCCGAAAGAGGGAGAAAGAGGAGATCGCTCTGCGCTGAAGCGGAGGTGTATCCTTGGGAGTTGAAGGGATCTTGTTTCCCGCCTTGTATGAAAAGAGAGCTCAGAACAAGTGAGGCTGCTTGTCCCCATCTATGGAAGAGTGAGAAACTTGGCTCCGAGATGCACCATGCATCATCTTTTTTCGATCAACGCACCTGGCTGCTGGGGTATACCCGTGCACCGTTGAGAATAGGAGGAACAATAACAGGAAAGTCGGTATCATCGAGAATCGTTAGTCGTTTGTGTAGGGATTTGTTGAGGGCTATTTCATGAAGAGGTCGTGACGTCGTGAGTGTTATAAGATGGAGAAGACAGAGATCCAATTCCTAACGCGGCGGTGCTATTAGGCTCACGTGTTAGTGGAGTCCGTCGGAATTGGCCGTTCGTCACAACGCCGGGATGATGCGGAGGGTACGCTGTGCGTTTGCAAAGATGTAGATGAGAACGGGTGTTAGAGTGAGCGTATGTGTTATAGTTCAGCGAAAGTTAAACCGAACATTCGGAGGAACGCGTGATTAAGCGGCGCACTTGACCGCGCGGACTGTGATGGCAAATACAGCACAACATCACTCTCGTCTAACCGTGACGACTATGGCCACAGTCCTCCCTATATTCTTTATATTTGCCATCGTCGTGGCGCTCATGACCTCCGCTGCTCTCTTCACGCCGAAGGGTCCCCAACAAGTGTTCGTGGTGGCCCTCAATCATCGGTAGCGGGACTGATGTTATTCGACAAACAGGGTAGTCCGAACTGCGATCATGTTAACATTGGCCTGTTGCTTCCTCTTGTGGATGGTGACATACTTGGCCCAACTCCATCCTCTCATTCGTGCGTCCTAAATCTTCGCGGTCTGGGGGCTTTGGCATGCTCATATGTCTGCTAGAACCTCAACGCTCCCTGAAAGTGGAAGGGTAAGCCGGCTGGTGCAAGAGCTGTCGCAGATTCCCTTTACCTTACGGACTATATCCCGTGCGTATATCTCACCGCTACTCCATTTCTTGTCTCATCTGTGCTACAGAGCATGTTGTATCTAATTCAAACGCATTCTCATTGTTGAGGTCTCGAATAGTCGATGTCGATGACCAGCATCTTCCGTCTGCGTGATACAAGCCCGATGGCATGACTCTCTGAAAACGTTTTCTGGGGATCTCTTGTACCAGACCCACGTCGTGGAGTGTTGGCTATCTCAGCGGTCTGGGAGTGTTCGAGCCAATTACTGCGCAAAACACCATATCACCTTCGGAACACGAGCTCGGCACCGTTTGTGAGCTGCGTAAGATGCAATTCAAGAGACTGGTCTGCAGAACCTCAACCAACCAGACAAGATTTCCTATTGGTAAGTGCTAAACAAACAGTCCGAAATCAATTATGCGGAGGGCTCGCACGAACGCGTCAAAATCGCGCTGCATTTCATTCCACATGGTATCCCCGTTGGATTCGCTAGGCTCTGAGGGAACATTGAATGTAACCACCAAGTCTACGTGCTTGTGTTCCACACGGAACAATGCCATTAGGATGCGCACATGATCTTGCTCCTGTTTGTTGAATTTAGCCACCGACTGCGAGCCTGTAAGGATGATCGCGTGTGGTGTCTGATCCCCGTGTCCATTTGGAATGCATGAGACTGAGTTGACTGTTGTCGACGATGCCGAATTGTCGTGAGCAAGGGAATCAAAGTGGAATCTGGAATGCCCGTTTGAGATGATGACTGAAGATATGGGTACCACGGACCTGATTGCTGCATCGTCCTCGGAGGATTCCACGCGTTCTAATATCTCCACGATGATGCTGACTGCTGAGGCAGGATAAAGAAACACCTCTTGATTATCAGGTATTTGCCGTAGATCACTAAGAAAACATAAGGGGAAGACACAGGCCGAGGAAATCGAATACGATGCATCGACCAGCCCTGAAGGTGCCTCCGTCACGATCGCCCCTCCGAATAGTTGTCGCGTACTTGAAGACATATGATATTGTAGCCGGCTAGAGAAGAGTCAAGATGGGCCATAGTCACGATCGCCATCAGTCACATCCTCTGTGAGTCACGGGATCACCACGCCTCTCTCAACCAACCACTCACGACGCGTTCCGACCCATGATGGACAGGCGACGCTCGACTCTCCAGCCATCGTCAGATATGAATGCTACATCCCGCTCAGCTATCCCGGTCCCGGCCACTGTGAGGAAACCGAATCCGTCGCGAATGTCTGTGGCAGGATCTTCGTTCAATCCACCACCCCCTTCATCGAATCCTCGGCAGTCTATGATGCGCTCCCAGAACATGAATCCGCTGCTACAGTCCGCATCAAAAACTAACTATGGGCGGACGCCTCTCAATAAGTGAGCTTGGGTTTACTAATCAACGACTTGAGCTCACCTGTTCTAAAGTAGTACGCGGCGTGGTTCTATGTGGCCCGGGGCAGCCAACATGCCTCCGCCACCTAGTAGCCAGACAATGAAGGATACGAGGCCGCTACGAGAGAAAAGCTTCCAGATCACAATGAAGCAAGACATCAGTCAATATCTGCGGAGCGTTCACTACGACATCGGGCCGGCCACGTTGAACAACATTCAGGGCAAGGAGTATCGGGCGATAGTCGAATTTCTCATTCTTCAGCTCGATCCGTATCACCCTTTCGACCCTGCTTCACGCATGGAGGATGAATTCATACCAGCTCTGAGAGCGCTTCGATACCCATTCGTCAACTCTATCGATGTCAAGTCTCTGGCGGCACCTGCTAGCATGCACTGCTGGCCAGCTTTTCTTGGTGTGATGCACTGGCTGGTTGAATGCTGCAAAGTATGCTGGACGCCTTGCTGTTCGCTTCGGAGTTTTTGACGTTCTCGCAGGCCATTCAAACTTACGAGGGAAGCGGCGACCCAACGCTGCAGATCGCTGAGAACATTCCTGACGAGTTTGAGGATCCCATGGATCACCAGGCATTGGCATTCGAATATTACGAACAAGCCTATGCTCTGTGGATGAACATGGTCGACGACTTCGTCGAACCAAAACAGAGTCTGGAGGATCGATACGGTGGGTGTTTGTGTTTCCCTTCCTCGATCTCACTCATTGGGCTGTAGCTCGTAAAAACGGACAGGCACACCTCGAACTGGAAGAAACCACGGCGCAGCTCGAGCAAGGTGTTCGGGAGTTGGAGAAACTCAAGGCGGCCGCTGTGCGTAGATGTCACTGTCTCGTCGTTGCACATCCTCATTTTGGGTCAGGATCCGCTAGCGAAACTCCAGAACGAGAACGCGACTCTGAAACAGGACTGCGAAAAGTTCTTGAAGATCTTGAAGCAGTACGAATCGAGGAAGAAGAAGCTCATGGATCAAATTACGTTCGAGAAAGCAGAGTTGATTACAAAAGGTATGCAAAGAACGACCGTCATGAATTGACATAACTTGCACCCAGGTAACCAGCTCGAGCAATTGAAATCAGAGCAAAGTCGACTGGCGGAAATTGTGAAAACACAAAACCTGACTCCGGAGGAAGTGATCAAGATGAACACTGATCATGAGACATTGACCCAGAACCTGAGGGATCTGGAGCAGAAGATTGCAGAGACGAATCGGCACGTCATGACGCTGGAGGTCAATGTGACCAACCGCGCTGCTGCCGCCGAGGAGGCCATTGATTCATACACCAATCTCCTGACGCAGCTGGAACTCTTCCCGCCGCTGGCACCCCCACTAGAGGACGTCGACTTGACCCTCGATCTCAACACTGCATCGTCTAATCCACACAACCTCCTTTCCGGAGCGGATATCCGACGGGTGATTAAGCCCGCACTGAGCGCCGTCGCCGAGGCAAAGCGGTCCGCTCGAGCCAACGTGGAAAGCGAGCGGATCAAGTTGGACAACGAGCTGGACCAGGTTACGCTGGAATGCGAGAACATCGAGGAGGAGATTGTGGAGGTTGAGAAGAAAGTTGTTGCGCTCAACGACCAGGCCGACGATCTTCGCGAGGTTGCTCAACAGGAAGCGGTTGTTGCTAATGCCGAGGCCAATCGGTTGGAAAAGGAACTAGCGAACGCGCGCACAGCTGCGCTCGGCAAGGGGACCATTGTGCGATCCCGTCTCCAGACGCTCCAGTTCAAGTGAGTGTTTTCTAGAAAGCAGAGGCACCTTCTGAGTTCCCACAGTTACCGCGAACAGGTTGAGAAAGTCGCCCGGCTCAAAGACGAAACGGTCCGCGCGATTCTCAAGAACACGCACGAGATTGCGATATTCAAGGACGAAGTGTCGCGGTGTCTGTCGGATTTGAGGCTATTCGCAGAGGGCGAGTAGTCATCTTGTTCTCTGTCTGTTAGATTTGTTTACCCCCTACGCGTATGATGATGATGTACTACTACTGATTGCAACGAGTTAGTTATCGGCATCAAAGTGGTTCATCCACTGCAGCACTCTCAATGGTACAATCATTCGGCCGGACTTGGTAGGTCCTATTCAGAAGTATCTGCTCTTTTAGTGTATAGAATATTATGGAATCTAGGACGTCCCGCAGTAGCAAGAGAACGAGCACCGCGGCAGCCATCAAATTCCATCTTTCAGAATTCCTTCGACTTGCTCCCGGGCTGCAGTGGGGATTGTCGCTTCAAGAAAAGACCCGAATTTGTGAACGAGCTGCCCTGATCGCTGAGTGCCTCGGGGATTATTACGATAAGAGGATCCCAAGAACGAGCGCAGGAGTGTGTTCTGGTCAGTCAATGTCAGTGTCCTTCTGGAGCGATGCTTCGCAATCTTATGCTTGATGGCCCCGGCCACAGTCCTACAGGGGCCGTCAGAGTGAAGCGAGCGCAATCGATGTGATGGGCTTGTCTCAACGCGAAGTTATCGAGTCGGGAAAAGTTGCGACTGGCATGGCGCGCAGATGCCGTGGCATCGCCAATTAGCCGAGGATTGTAGCGACGGAGGCCACCAGCCACCTCGGGCGTCGCCGGACTTTCGGACACTGTATGTAGCGTGCAGTCGGAATGGCGCAGTTCTGCATGGAGTGTGTCACTGTATTTCCAGATACCGTAGTTTGTGCGGCAACAGAGTTTCCCAGCTGGAATGTGGAGGATGTGGGGCAAACCAGCTGGAATGTGGCTGGTGTTCCTTGGGTGTGGATCTGAGCTATATTAAGACACCAGGGAGTTCTTCGCATCGATGTCAAATCCACGTGTCGGGATGTAATTCGAGTTGACCAAGGCGATCGCTTGAGCTGACTACTACGTCCGCTCAATTCTGGGAGCACTTATTCTTGGCCCGCGAGCCGGGCCTAGGGATGCTTCGAGGAACCCGACCCCGACCGGTTCTGACAGTGTCCATCAGCCCGCGCGGTGATACTGATAGTGAGAGTCTCGGAGAAAGTGATGTGGCACCGTGCATGGTCGGCCAGGAACAGCAGTGAGGTCATCCACTACTACACTGCACCGCAAATCAAGGTCGTCTAACGGAGGTGTCTCCGCTTAAGCTGATGGTGACTGTCAAACCCTGCATAAGCCCAGTCGGTAATCTACCCAGCTAGGCACCTACCTACCAAGACTTGAGCGGATCTAATTGGTTGGAACTCCGTGCCAGCTCGCACCGACGACGACACTGCATCGGGACTGCGCCGCCAATCTCTGGGCCATCATATTCATGATTACCGTATTGATCATTCTCCTTGTGTAAGGTTATGGACGACGTTGCAATGTCAGCCTTGTGCCGATAACTCAACGGGGTTGACGCACACTCTCCGCCTCGCTTAAACTCCAAAGTACTCCATGCTCAATCTCCAGCAAATCAGAAAGTCTGGGTATATTTTGATGTGAAATACCAACTGGAGTCCGGGAACGAGTGAGAAAATTGAGGAAGGTGAAATGTGATGCTTCTGCGGTGCTCGTTCTCCTGCTACTGCATCCCGAATTCCACAAAACTTCGGGCACTGAAAGAGAAGATACGTCTGAATGCGATACAGAAAAGTCCGGCCGAGTAACTCTCTTCGATTGCGAGTGCCAGAGGAAATCTGTGAGCTCGACGCCGATTACAAGGATCAAGAGTACGTATTTAGTTTGTTATCAACGACCTCGAAGAGTTTGAAGATCTCCGAATCGTGTCATTGGTTGATGCTCAGCCCCTTGTCGGAAGTCACTGCCCGAACTCCGTCAGATGGGCCAGTTCCACACAGTGAGTCTAAGTTGTCTGGGCCACAGTCGGCTTGAGCGAGGAAGCTGCACATGCAGTCCATGCTGCGCCGGCTCTTTTTGAGAGTTGATCGCTTTGTCCAGCTCCAATGGCTGAGAATTGACACATTGACACCTGCAGCTGATAGCCGTCGCATTCGAGACCGTGGGAAGAATGGCCAGATCTGAAGATATGCAGTACCTCTAGCGACAACTGATCCAGTCCGATTGGAGAATGCACACTGAGCTGGTCTCCATCAACTGCTTAGCCGGGAGCCGCTCACAGAACTCGTCCGATGTCCGAGTTTCGGTTTGCTGTCTGACTCACCGATATCCGAATCTCGCATTGCATTCTTACGCCATCTCTGACAGACTGCGCCGTGTACCACTGTTTCGAAAACCTGCTGCTCCTTCGAGCCCTGTGTTGGAGCGGCGAAAAGCCTCCGGGAGGTGATGGATGCAAGTCGCACAGATCAATATGGGCAAGCTCTCTCAGGCTGAGCCAGTCTCATCCGACGCATGTATCTCGATGGCACCGGGAATCTATTGAACCACCCCCGGAAGCAAGTTGACTTCGAAAAGCCGGTTCCGGTCTACGGGCTACCGAGCACCAAGTATGGATGTCCTGAGAGTGATCACCCATCCTGGGACTCATAACCGTTCAAACACGATAGCCGCTGAGAATGCGGCTCGGCAGCTCAGACTCTGTCATGCCCGATGGTAATAGCAATCTCACCGGCAATATAAGGCTGCAACGGCTCTCTGTTCTCTCGCACCCGACTCTGTCCTGCCCTGTCTTGCCTTGGCCTTGCCTTGTCCTGCCCACTCTTCACACATGGCTGACATCACTCAAACGGCGACTCTGGCCTATATCGACGCCGAGAAAGGCGTCCTCGAGCAAGTGCCTTCATCGAAGACTATTCCGCTCGAGGAGAAGGCAGTTATCGCCGCCCCTCCACCCGTCAAGGCACCACCCAAGCCCCGGAAACGTGCCTCAGCCTGGGTGAGGTGGCGCATATGGTTCAACACGTACAGGTATTCCAGTCGTCCTCGTGTCTGTCTCGCCGCCCTCTCACGCCACATCCAGGAAGTTCTTTACCTTTGTGATGACGATGAACATCGTCGGCATCGCCCTGGCCATCGCCGGGCACTTCCCGTACGCAGAGAACAACACCAGTGCCCTCGTCCTGGGCAACCTCAACTTCGCGATCGTAAGCGGTGCATTTCTGTGGACATATTCTTTTGCTCATCGAGATCTAGCTCATGCGAAACGAGATCTTCGGCCGATGTCTCTACTGGTTCGTCAACACGTGCTTTGCCAAGGTCTGTCGTCCTCGTGCCCGGGTCGTTTGTCGTCCAACAATCTTTCAGTGGCCGCCTCTGTGGTTCCGCCTTGGCTGGACGTCTGCTCTCCAGGTGATTACCCTTCTTGCGATGTGCAGGTAGTGTCCGGGAAACTCATCGCATTGACAATAGCACCTGGGAGGGATCCACAGTGGCTGCGCGCTGTCCGGCGTGCTGTGGCTCATCTTCAAAGTCGTCAACAATTTCCGTCATGCTCATGTCACCCACGACGCGATCCTGATCACCGGCGTCACCACCAACATTCTGGTCATCATTAGCGCACTGAGCGCATTTCCCTGGGTCCGCAACACACATCACAAGTACAGCCTCTCTCCTCCATGCCTTCCCTCACTTGACTCATATCTATTTACAGTGTCTTTGAGCGGCATCACCGAGTAAGCTTTTGTACGATCTCCCTCGCGAACTCTTCCATAACTCTTGCACGCAGTTTGCTGGATGGATTGGCCTCATCTCTACTTGTGAGTGATCGAGCACCGCGCTTACTTGCACATACTGAATTGTTTCCAGGGGTCTTCGTCATCCTTGGCGATGCTTACGATCCCTCGACCCGGTCATGGAACGCCAGCGGAGTTAGATTGATCAAGCACCAGGATTTCTGGTTCACCTGCTCCATGACCGTCCTGTACGTCTCGGATGAACAAATATCTGATGACTTCTGACACTCTCTATACAGGATCGCACTGCCGTGGATCTGTGTGCGGGAGGTCGAGATCGACATCGAGCTGGTCCGTCTGTCCCTTTCATTAAATGGGCGCTCTCGTCTCAAACTTGTTTCAGCCGTCACCCAAAGTAGCCATCCTCCGCTTCAAACGCGGCATGCAGCAAGGGCTGCTTGGCCGCATCAGCCGCTCCTCCATCATGGAGTACCATGCATTCGGAATCATTTCGTGAGTATTCTGCTGTGTGTCCACGCGCCGCATTAACTGATTGTGCAGGGAGGGCACACACGCCAAGTACCACTACATGATTGCCGGCGTTCAAGGAGACTTCACAACGTCTCTCGTCAGGGACCCCCCTCGCACGATCTGGACCCGTGAGCTGAAAGTGCGATCCATCCATCTAATCTAAGCGCCATCTTATCTTATCTGTTCTATCACCCAGTTTGCCGGCGTGTCCAACACTTCGACCCTGTACAAGCGAGGCATTCGCATATGCACAGGGACCGGACTTGGTGCTGCGCTGTCGACATGTTTGCAGTCCCCGTACTGGTATCTGATCTGGATCGGATCAGACCAGGAAAAGACGTTCGGATCAACGATATCCAACTTGATCCACACCCATCTCACCCCCGAGAACCGAGTCACGCTCTGGGACAGCAAGCAGCGCGGCGGGCGGCCCGATACCATGAAGCTGCTCAAAGAAGTGTATGCCTCCTGGAATGCGGAAGTGGTCTTCATTACTTCCAACTACATCGGCAACACGGAAATCATGGAGGGCTGCAAAGAAGCTGGTATCCCTGCGGTTCGTCTCTCTCGCCCTCGTCTATTTCGTTCATCATCCTCAACGATCCACAGTTTGGAACGCTTTGGGACTTCTGAGAAGTCAAGTGGCTGATCTAGACGGAGGTCGAAACCATACATTCATTAGGCCCATACTATGCCGCTAATAGACAATTATGACCGTTTCTACTCTCCACGGAACTACACGTTCTCACCTCGGAATTTGATCCTCGACGACTCTGCCCGCTTTCCCCATCCAGGGCCATCTTCGCCTCGGATTTATAGGCGAACTGGGCTGGAGACACACACCTTCCAGCGCAAGTTGCTTTAGCACGCGACATAAATTCCGAGTGTCCTGTGGTCGCTGGTGATGAGACTTGTTTTGCCGTCCAAGCAGGTCCACTCACGTCTATCCCACTGTGAAGCTGTCCCTGGAAGGGAGGTAGCGAGAGAGCCCACAGCTGTGCTGGAATGTTCAAGTTACCAAAAGGTAGCTGCGAGTGTGCGGTCATTCCATGTCCTGGTATTATTCAACGGAAGAGATGAGGACCTTCTCGCGAGGCAGATGGGAAGCGACCTGTGCTCGGACGTCGAGCACGTCTCCAGCCATCCAATCAGGGAAAGGAACCTTGGCCACATGAGACCCGAATGGACAACTGATCAATCGATGTAACTCGAAGCGTACCTGGGAGATGAAGCACTGCTTTACGACGAAGTCCCGAATATCATAAGGCCCATCGCTGCACCAGCAGAAGCGCATACGCCGCTTGCCGTTCTTCTCGATCAGCTTGTGCTTCACGAGGAACGCGCGCAGAGACCTCAGCACGCTTGCAAACACGGGTGCGCCGTCCACTTGGCCCTACGGAAAATGAGACCCGAAACGGGCGACCAAGTTCCGCGTCGCGCACCTGCGTTATCCCAGTCAGAGCCTGGCAGAAATCGGACAGCTCAGGGCGCCATGTCGGTTTGACGAAGCTGCGAAACTCGGCAACGACTTCCAGTTCTCTTGCGGTTCCGCCGCGCCTATCTTTCCATCGCATCAAACAAACAGGCAGTTCCTGGAAAAAGGCGTGTGTGAAAACAGCCGTGTGGGAGCGGCTTCTGAGAGCACTGACGATAATCTCGTTCGGGTACGCAAAACTTGATCCATTTTCGCAGGTAGCTTCAACGTCGAGGACCAGAAATGCGTCGAACGGCTGCTTCGGCCCTTTTTGCGCAGGCTCGATGGAAATTGGCGGTGCGGTGTTGTCCTCCGGGAGTTTGGGAGGCGTGACATCTTCCACGGTGGGAAGAGTGCGCCGAGGATAGACTGCATAGAGAAGGACGAGGACGACGGACAAGAGCGCGATATCGAATAGGATGTCCATGTCAAGGTGTGCCAGCCTGCCCGCTCGTGCATTGCCGAGGACCGTGGAAATGATAGATGAAGCAAACTCAACTCCTCCCAACTTCCAAAGGCTTGTCCCGGGGGGTGAGGCTAAATATTCTTGCGTGTTCTTCGGACCGGAGTCCACGTGCAGAATCTTGACATGAGATCACTGATCGGCCTCCAAAAATCTTGCCTACTACAGGCTACCTGCGAGGCTGCGAAGCTCGATCGACATGCCCGGCGGTGACGACTTTGAAGACGATTTTGTTCCAGATGAGCTCGTTGCCTTGACGGACGAAGAAGAGGCGGAAGGAGACGACGACTCTGAGGAGCAGCAAGAGGAGAACGACTCGCATGCTCACACCGTCGACGGGAATGCGCGAAATGAAGGGTCTGATCTGGTCTCTCGGGCACCATCGGATACTGCGAAAAAACGTAAACGTGAAAGGGAGCGAGAAAAATTCAAAGAAAAGAAAGTATGCGCCACAAGTTTCTTGTGTGTATCCAATTGGGAATACTCATCATCCACGAAATTCAGAAGCGCAAACTATTGCTCGAAGCGCCTACGAGAGGGAGCAGTGCAGAGGGCACCACCACCACCGACCAATCTCCTCCTGCACTTGCAGAGTACCTCGCCTCGCTACAAAAGAAAGCTTTCTCTAAGTTGTCGGCGTTGGAACTTGAGGATGCACGCATACCGGGTACCGATCGCCCCCACTTTCCGTTCAAACGATCTGATTCTCGACCAAGTCGATGCAATCGTGGATACATCCGCATGGACGGGCCCGAGAACATTAGATAACTTGGTGGATTTCATAGTCAAAGGTGCGGTGCATGCTTGTTCAGTCATGCGTGCTCAATGTGTAGTACAGTCATTCCCGACCTTCGCATTAGACTGGGTCAACGATCCAAGACAAACGGAGCACCCACTCTCCTCTTCCTGGCTACAGCAGCACTCCGCGTGGCCGATGTGACGCGCATTCTGCGAGACAAGAAGCTTAGAGGCGACAAGGGAGGCGATGTAGCCAAACTATTCGCAAAGCACTTCAAGCTGGCACAGCATGTCGATTACCTGCGACGAAATAAGATCGGGGCTGCAGCTGGTACACCAGGGAGGATCGGTCAATTGCTTTGCGAGACAGGTCAGTCGACCATAAATGTCCAGCAGAATGCGCGAGTTACAGTCTTTCGCAGATTCCCTTGCGGTTTCAGCCCTCACACACATCATACTGGATGTATCCTTCCGGGATACCAAGAAGCGTAACATGTTCGAAATTCCAGAGGTTCGAGACGAGGTCCGTGTTGAGTATTAATCCCCCCCATGATCTGACACATTGAGCACAGGTATTCAAAACAGTGCTGGGCGCCCCACAGATTCTCCAAGGAATCAAAGCTGGAAAGATTCGAGTGGTGCTCTTCTGATATAGTAGTAGCGATACATCGTCAGAAACCCTTCGGGTTCGTTCGTTGTGTGAGCTAACCAAAGATGATTGCGAGTTCGAATTCTGACACGGATGGGGACGCACCCTTGTCCATTTGGGAACTTTATGAATTCCCTTCCTGTAGCCGTTCGTGTGTGGTGAAAAGACCGTGTACTTGTCTTTGGCGGGCATTTCATGCTCTTTCGGAAGGTCCAGTGCTCGGTCCTATCAATGAAATTCATCCTAGGGAGCGCGCAACACGGGCTGTTACAACGTACCAGGGAATGACACTGAACACCGCTAGACCTGACCGCCTCAATGACAGCGTCCACCTTTTTTAATCTCGAGCGGACATTTGCTTTGCGTGTGGTTGACAATTTCCATGGGGATTTCCTAGAACGAGAAAGGTTGGAACTGGTCCGTGCATTCAAAGGTCTGAATACCAGAGAAGACCGCCTTGATTCACATGGGAGGCACGGAATGCCCCGAACATCAGGATGAGAGAGGGAAAGAGATTGATGAATCACGTGTCTAGTCGCGACTCGACTCTCTCCCCCATCTCTGCGCATTGTAACGGTCCCTGCTATGGAAGTCGACGGTCCCGACGGAGCTGTCGCCATTGAATCCGAAAGAGAAGGCCCAAGATTTGCGAGTGGCCTTATCCTTCCACCGCCCGAAATCAAATGCAAGCTTCATAGCGTCTTGACCGTGCATGCTTGTAAACTTTTTGTTTAGCTGTAATCGACCGCACGGCCACCTTCGTTGCTCGTTCTGCCAATCCTCCTCAATTTGAGGAGAAAATTCGGGAAGGCCAGCGCTCGGACCCCAAGTTTTCCTTCCTCAATCCAGTAGACCCATACCATGGCTACTACCGACACAAGATGGACAGGGTAGCTCAAGGAGACATGGGGGAGGAGGCGACGCAGGAGAAACCTGAAACAGGCGCGACAGAGGACGTTGCACCCATTGACATGGGTGTTGAACCACCCGCGCCTGACTTCGTTCTGGAATTACCCACCATCAGCAGCATTGACTTGTGAGCATCTTATTCTACCCCCAGTCACATGGACTCTCATTTCTTTGCAAGGGATATCATGAAGTTGACTGCTCTCTTCACTGCTAAACGGGGACAAACCTTCAGTTCTGCGCTTGCCGTCCGGGAGGGACGCAACTATCAATTCGAGTTCCTCCGCCCCCAGCACTCCCTCTTTGGCTACTTCAAGCGGTTGGTGGAGCAATACCAGAAAGTTCTGTATCCTAATAAGGAGATGCTGCAACAGCTCAAGAGTCGAACGGAGGAGGATGCCAAGTGGAAGACTCTGGAAGTAGCCAGGACACACGCCAAGTGGGAGAAAAACAAGAGAGAGCGGGACAAGAAGCGTCAGGATGACGCTGAAGCTGAGCGAAGTGAGTGCAATCTTTCTTCCAGTTGCTCAGGTCTGACCGTTGTGTAAAGTTGCGTTTGCTGAAATCGACTGGCACGACTATCACATCGTTCAGACCATCGAATTCACTGCCGCTGACTCGAACGCTGTCTTGCCACCACCAATGAGCGTTCAGGAGGTGGAGAACATGACCCTCACTCAAAAGCGCATGGCGGCCATGATCATGGAGAACACTGCCGACGATATCGAAGCTCACCGGGCTAAGCAGGCAGCCGCTGAGGCTGAGGCCGCAGCTGCTGTCGGGAATGTTGGTGTCGGCATGGACGACGATGCGAACATGGAGGAGAGTGACGATGAGGATGCTGAGGCTGAGAGGAAGCAACGTGAAGCTGAGGAGCGGGAGCGTGAAATTGAACGGGCCAAGGCGCTGCAGGCGAACACCATGAATACCTCTGGACCCATGAAGATCAGGGCAAACTACGTTCCCAAGTGTGGGTGAAGTTGTCCGGTCTTCGTTGCTGCGTGCTGACGTCCACACAGTGGGATCGAAAAATACCAAAGAAGCCATGACGACGTGTTCGATCTGTGGTCAACAAATTCCGGTCGACGAACTGCAAGAGCACATGCGTATCGAGCTGCTCGACCCGAAATGGAAAGAACAGCGGAACGCACTGGAGGCACGAAAGGCACAGGCCGCCGAGTTGCAGAGTGGGGCGAATGTTGTATCTGCTCTGAGAGGATTGGCTCGCACCCGGGTGGACATTTTCGGAGAAGAAGCTGACGAAGAGCGCCGTAAGAAGGAGGAAGAGGAGCAGCGAGAGCGCCGTAAAGAGCGCGAAAAGGTCGTTTGGGATGGGCACACAGCTTCCAAGACCAACACCCTGGACAAATTCTCCACTAATGTCAACTTCGACGAGCAGATTGCCGCCATCCACAGGGCGAAGGGCCTGGGACCGTGCGTAACGCACCTGTTGTTGCCATGGCAGTAACTGATAGAGTTGACAGACAAGAGGCGAACGCAATTGGGCCTGGAATCGGGCCTGCAGCGGTGCCGCCGCCATTGACTGGGACATTGCCGCCTGCTCCAGCATCTTTGCCTGCACCGCCACTGGCGGCTGGCAAGGCTGCTGGGCAGTATTCGGCAGCGGCGACAGTCTCGTCGGGCCCGCAACCTGCATCTGCATATCCAGCTCCAGTTATGCTGCCCCCGTTGCACTATCAAGGGATGGATGCAGCCCAGCCATTTGGGTATCAGCCGCCGGCGCCGGCCATGCATCCGACTCGCGCGGCTGCTCTTGCCGCTGCGAATGGAGCTCTACAAGCAGCGCAGGCTGGGACCGTCCGTGGCGCCGAGGAGATGGAAGACAGTGATGATGGCATTCCGCCTGCCAAAAGGCAGCGAGTCGCCAAGCTTCCCAATGGACAGCTGTATTCCGAGCAGGACTGGATCACCAGCCACCCTGTGCGTACTGAATTACACCTGTTTTGCAAGCTCGCGCTAACCACCAGAGCAGCACCCCATCTCTCTCCAAGTGCAGCTGCCCAAGGACGACTCCAAACCAGAGTGGAAGTTGGATGGAAGCATCGTCACGATTCCCGATCTGCCTCTCAATCTGCTCGTGTCCACTTTGCGCGATCGAATCCAGCTGCACACCAGCGGCAGCGTCCCAGTGTCCCGTATCCGACTATCGTACTCCGGGAAAATGCTCAACAACAAGGACACTATTGCCCTGTACAATCTTGAAGATGAGGATTTGGTTGTCCTGAGCGTGCGGGATGCCAAGAAAAAGTGATCGTGGTGTAAGTGGTATGTCAGTACAGAGTGTAGATAATGTTACAGTGCAATGCAATGCGGTGATGAGTAGAGGGCGACTGCCAGCGGATCCAAAAGAGTTGTCTCGTGTATGGTTATCTAATGGTCTGCAAAGTAACATTGCTGTTCGGGCCTCATGCTGTGGAGCGCGGTGGGCTCAGAGTGTCGACCAGAGTACAAGGCTTGTATCTGGCGTCCACCGGGCGTCATGGCTGGCCCCTTGAAGGGAGAGAATGGTCCAGGAGTTTGTGCCATGCGAAGATATGGGCCTGGTAGAGATGGTTTGGGAGGCGCACGAAGTGTGCCGTGTTGGGGGACCGTGTCTCGCAGCCATTCATCGTCCACGCTGGGCACCCTGGGGGACGACGCCTTGCGAAAGACGCTTTCGGGATTGAGGTGTGGTGATTTGACGAGTGAGGGGGGAATCGGTGCGGCCTGGGGCGCTTGTATCGGGATGCGCAGCGACGTTTTGCGCGTAACGTCAGAACGAGACATCGGGCACGCAAGACGAAAAACCAGCCTGCTGATGTGCGTGCGGACTAGAAGCAGTTGGTTCGATGAAAGGGAGTGAGGCTATGTATGGCAGTCGCTTGTGAGACATTTGATCTGAATTTCCCGATCACGATAAATTATATGTAGTACAGCGGAGGCGGCTAAAATACTCTACGGAAGACGATCCCACATACAAGGACCAGGATGACACATATAGCCGTGTCCAAAAGAAGTGGAGGTCGTTGAGCTCTTGGCACTGGCTGACTCGCAGAATCGACAATTGCAGCAACAATAGGGGCTTCCACAGGATTAGGAGGAGCACCAGCATCTACCGCATCTGCCCGTTCCGATGCCGCTTTGGATGATTCCTCTGCGGGATCCGACAGCAGGCTCGAATTTGGAACGGCACAATGTGGACACACCCACGAGCGGGATCTTCAACTAGTCAGCCTCAGTTCCTGAAAGAGGGCTTAGACCTTACAGGCCGGCCAGACGCCTCCTCTCTGCGACGGGATGCTCAATAGATCCCACGCCAACCGCAGCTTTGCCTTTCAAAGGGAAAAACCCTGCAATCCAATAATAGCTACATTGTTCATGAGATCTTTCACATGGAGAAAGAGTGCACACACCTGTTCTCACACCCCAGGCGGGTTGCCAAAGTTCTTCATGATCTGGGACTGTCAGCGAAGTCCGGCCTAGTCCTCGGCCACTCACAGCTTGTGAAGCTTATGCAGATCTGAGCAAAGTGGTCAGGAATTGGATCCGGCCGAGCCCAAGAGAGCGCGGACCTTTGTGTCGGTCTCAAACCTGCCACTCGGAGTAAGCATCATAATTGAAGGCGGGCGGAAGGGATATTCTGCGGGTAACAAGATTCGGAAATGATATAGGCCTGGAAGATCTCATGAGAAACAACCGATCAAGACCGACTCGACAGCAGACCTCCTTCAAATTCCGTTCCTGAAGGACCACGGAGGGTGCAGTGCCATTCCTTCAACAGACTGAATCGGTGACTGAACGTATAATCGTGAATTACGAACAAATATGTCATCCTCTAATGGAGCCGCCGAGTATTCAGTGAGGGGTCATTGGCCAGCTCCTTCGCCTGATTTATTCCTTGATGAATGCGCGTCGGTGACACAGCTGAAGATACCCACTTCCTGCATGATACGCTTCACAGCTGGAAGATGACAGGCTCAGAACGAGACTAGGACCCTTCGTGGTGGGCTTATTGACGGACCGGAATTGTTCTTGTTGAGTCCAGCCATGGGTTAAGCCCTCGGGTAGCAGGATACAACACGTCGATAGGCTAAGAGAGTGGAAGTTCTGAGTGGAAGCGACGTGGAGGCGAATGAAGCACAGATCATGTGATCTTCGAATGCGGACTTGTCCGGACCGGATGATCCTCATCACGGTGGCCGTGTATCGCGTATCCCTACTACAACCTTCACTTTCTTGCTCCTGCTGTTCATTCAGACAGTATTGACGTCAAAGTCTTGGAACCGTGCGGCTAGCCCAGCATGATATACATTGAAAAGCTTCGCGTCAGGCCGAAAAGAAGTCAGTCATGGTCAATTCGAATCCGAGGTTTCGTCTCAATTGAACGCTAGACCAACCGTACAAACATGTGTGGTCCCCAGTTGGCAGCCATGTTGGGGCTGGGCAGCATCATCGGGTTCCAGGGCAGAATGCGTGTAAAGAAGCTGCCGAGACCCTGTTCCATTGCATGCGACACGGCGGTGTGTCATATAATCTCATGGCTTGCCCACCGTTTCTCATCTATTTGTTTCAGCCCCATCCCAAAAAGACACATAAGCCCACTATAACTATCACCTTGCTCGTCTTGGTAAAAAGATTCAATAGAGCTGCTCAAACACGTCTCAATGAAACAACGTTCCCGTTCCCTATGATTTCTCGTACACATTGCCCTTCGCTCAAGCCGCATGTTTCCCTGAGAACGTCGCGTGGCCTCGTGCGGCGTAAACTGGACCTTTTAAGTCGGACGATCACGTCAAAGTACTCCAGCTTTCTTCTTTACCACCACTAGTATGAATTCTTGCAGGACGCCAGTTGGAAGTCAGAGATTGCAGTCTTTTGGGATTACGG